GAAAATGGAAACAAGAAAGTTAAGACAGGTTCTGGTTCTGACAGCTTGCTCAGAGATCACAGAGATTTTGGATCAGAATCAAATGGCTCTCTGACATTCTGTCTCTAAATTGAATAATCTTTTTTTTTTAAAAGAAAATAGTTGAGGGTCTTTTTTTTTTATTATTATTCGGAGCTCGGGACATCGGCAAGTTCTCGAAATATATTCACGTGGCTCTGACCCAAAGCAGTTTGTATACAATTACGAAGAAAGTTCAATCCAAAAACTTGCTGACAGGTGAAAATGGCTACATGGATATAAAAAGCATATAGAACTCGTTGTCAAGCGATGTAAAACAATATTTCGACACCTATTTTCACTTGCAAGCAGGATTAGAAACATCACGCAAAATTTGAATGATGGGTGACGCGGGACAATACATGTAGAGTCACTCTCACGTGCAAGCCGAATAAGGACGACATGTGGAATTTGATTGATGGGGGCGATCGTACATGCGTGAAAGAGACGTTGTTGCCTCTGATATTATGTTAAAAAATCGAATCAAAAGGCTTAAACTAGTAGGTGGAAAGAGACTACATAGATATAAAGAGTATATAATGCCCTTTTGTCAAACTATGTAGCATAGTAATTCAACACAATTTTTTAGGGTCAGAACTAATGACTTTCGAAAGCCAGGAATCTTCCCACATTGCAAGTTTGCAACTAGTGTAGTAGAATGGAGGATCCCGCTCTCGCTTTTCACTGTTCTTCTCTTTGGGCAAATTTATGATGCGCAAAAAAGCCCATAAAGCACATATTCCCCGTACTGGTTTGGCTAAAATTTTAGAAATGTTCCAAAAAAGACGTGCAATGTTCGCGAGATAAGTTCGTCACAAACAAATCTTCGCAAAATGCGCAAATCATGCTTATGAAATAACTTTGGCATAAGCTCCACTTGTCATCCATAAGTTTGATTAAACTGCCAATTTGATAAAAATGGGCAAAATTCACAATAAGCAAAGAATGCTACATTGATTATACTTAGCGATGGTATCAACAGAAAGCAATAGCAAGTGGGTTGGATCATCTGCTGTCTTATTTCACTTTGACAACTATTATTTGATCAAATCTACAATCAACATTGTTTTGTTCATTTTAGACGCATCATCATTGACATGTTGAAATTACGTGTCTTCCCTATTGATTCTTTGGTAATTTAACGACACTTATAGACGACCAAGGTAATAGAAGCCAAAATTGTCTCGTGGGCGTAAATGAGTGCCTTTATTTTTGGAACATTTTGAAAGTTGAAATCAAAATTATCCTAGCGATAAAAGTTTGTGTGGGCGATTATGTGTGCGCATTTTTCTTATTTGGCCATATGACTTATTAGTACTTATGATAATACTACCAAAATTTAATGTATTGGGTTTTTGAGAAACTATAACATATGTTTCAGATCGAGTAAAAGGTCAAATTACAATGAGTTGTGGGTTATTTTGGAAATAAAAAAATTAAGGAAGGTGAAAGTAAAAGTCACTTTAAATAGACCAGACTATTAATGTCACAGTAAGGGTGCATTTAGTAACCAATTTGTTCTCGGAAATAATTTCTGAGTATTTGAAGGCGTTTGGTAATTGCCCAAAATCTCTATTCCTAGAATAAAAAAGGAACATAAATGCGTTTGGTAACTGTACAAAATTTCTTTTTATTAAAAATATTTTTAATAGTTCTACCTTTTTTCTTTTCTTTTTTTCTTCTTCTCCTTCATTGGCCCATGGCCAGGTTGCCGCTCGGCGAGGGTATCGCGACCCTCGCGGTGAGGGCGAGGCCTGGACCCTCGCCGTTGCCCTCGCCAGCTTGGGTAAGGGCTGGAAGAGGTCGACAAGGGCTGCCCTCATCGCTCGCGGCTTGGGCAAGGGTCTGGCGAGGGCGGCCCTCGTCCAAGCCGCGAGGGTCTAGTCCACGTCAGATCCGGCGAGGGTGGCCCTCGCCCAGGCCGTGAGGGTCCAGTCTTTGCCCTCACCGGCCACACGCTAGTAAAGAAGAAGAAAAAAAATTTTCTTTTCCGTTTCTGATTCTTATTCTCGGAATCAAGAATCAATTTTTTTTTTATTTTTGATTATATTCCAAAACTATTTCTGGGAACAAATTTATTCCCGGAAACAAAAAATTTACTAAACGGATTTCTATTCTTTTTTTGTTCCCGGGAACAAAAGAATAGAATCAAATACTATTTGAATAACTGGCCCTAAGCATTTTAAAGATTTTTAGTGGCACGGAAAAAAGTTTAAGATATTTGGGTCGCAGTTTGAGGTTTTTTTAGGGATATATTAACCCTTCTATTAAACCAAAAAATAATCATTAAATTATCAATCATGCGACAATCAATCATGAATCGATCCCGACGCGTTCAACAGGAGATGGGAGGGAGAGAGAACAAGCGCTCTGCGCCTGCGCGTGGGCAAGCGAATGGGCACCTGCTCAAGAAAAGGACAGCGCAGTGGAATGTCACGTCCCCATCCATCTTTGCTGCACCATCCAGATCAAGCGCGTGGACGCGACGGGCGACCACAACCCAACGTCCATCTCAAACCCCAGTCCATCACTTCACTAACGCATGGAGAGAAGTGTTGGCACGGGCAAAGATGATGGGGATTTTGAAAACGATGTAACTTTCGTTTATATAAAAAAATAGATAATTTAAAATTATTTGTAAATGATCTTTGTATCGAATGATATAATTATTTAATAAAAAAATTATTTTATTATCAATAATATTTTTGTGGACGGTGAATTTTTTTTGTTCGTTTTTTTATGTAAATTTGAGCGATCTTTTTTGGAAAAATATTTTCCAAATCATTCAATTTTTATGAAGCAAACCACTCATAAAACACAACGAATATACTAGGGAGATAAATTCAAGAATATGATATTAGAGTTATTTATTGACGTGATACGGCACGACATTAGGTGAAACACAAATTATAGGTAGAAAATTCGAACACGACACGATCGGAGACGACACTCTGATTAGTATATTAATATGAATTAATGTGTATTCAAATCCTGAGCCGATTTTTTTGACTCATCAAATTCAACTATGATGTAATTTCTACTACGGTCACGACAAAGAAACGCGAATTGTTAAACCCTGAATAAATTGTAAAGAGGGGTAATGCGGTAAAAACGGGTCCACTAAGTACCAATTGAATTCCACGTGTCTTTGTCAAAGGAACCCGATGATTGAGACGTGTGGGTTTGAGAGAGAAGTTTTTGGTCACATCCATCTTACCATAGCTCTCAAGTAGTCAAGCGACTAAATATGAGTTGGGTCTTTACATTATACCACAAAAATGTCGGCAGTTCCACTATAGATGTGTTCCTTATTTTAACGTGTCGGTGCCCGTACGCCTCACATTCTTAATTAGGGAAAAGTTTTTTTCTTCTCTCATCCTATGGAATACCCCCGTATTTAACATCCCAGAGCTCAGACGAAGCAGTTTAAAGACCTACATATACATAACCTATTTTTATCAACATGGATCTGGATAATCCGAAATTTCAAAAAATTTATATGCAAACATATAACTTTAGTGAAAATGATCCACACAAGTTAATCAATCCAATATCAATGCAATCACCCATCTCATTCCCTATGCTTCCTCCCATTAGTATTTATCAATGTGTTTCCAATTTGCAAAATAATGGCTTGATTTTGCACATTGACTTTGTGTTGATGATATTATAATTATAGGAAAAAGCCACAAAAAATCCCAGCTTATGTTCACCGTGACACATTTACTCTAAACCCATTTTTTTGGTGACACCAAAAAACTCCAAACTTGTATCTAAGCGATACATTTATTCTAACGTGGATCCGACGTGGTATTATTAATAATTTTTTAAAGACGAGTGGCGCTGGAAAAATAAAAAGAAAATTCGAAGTACTGTTCGTGGCGAATTTACTGTTCATTGTATTCAAGATCGCGATCGCTCAGCCACAACTCCTCCGGCGTTGCCCACTATGTCCGGGATCTCTATCGACGCTGGCCAACCCTCCAGATCTGGCCATGGCGCCCGCGAGCTTTGAGGTCGAATTTGGCATCGAAGCTCGCCATGGCCGCTCGAGCTCGGGAGGCTTGCCCAGATCTGGTTCGCTTGCCCTTTAATATCGCTGCGTCGGATCCATGTGTGGTTTCAAGTTTGAAATTTTTGGTGCTGTAAAAAAAAATCGAGATCGACGTGTCACGATGGACATAATTTGAGATTTTTGGACTTATTCCCTAAGTCTCGTGATAGGGCAAGTTAGTGCGCTCTTTTGTCCGTCCGTGAGTATCGTCGCTTAGGCGGCAGGCCGAAAAACTCGGGACCAAAATCTCTCGCGGGTCATAAATTTCGAGCACGATAAAACGGAAAGAGCCAATCGAATTTCTTACTCTTCTCTTTTTCTCTTTTTTTATCATCTCGCGATATTGAAAAATCGCGTTTAGGAAAGCGACAGTTCCGCGAAAGGCGATACGAACGGGGTGGTGGGGCCAGCGACTGGACGTGTGTGGCGAATATTCACTAGATTTGAATGCGTGGTTTCAGATCCGCACCCGACTCCCCACAAGCCACACCCCCCCGCGCTTATCACCCACACGCCCTGCTTATCACCCCCGCTCCCCGATAAGCTTATCGAATGCCAAGCGAATAAGCGCACCTGCTTATCACTGAAAATGGATCAGTAGAAAAGGAAAGGCGACCACCCCCCCAATCTCCACCCTGCACAAGCACGCATCGAAGATAGCGAGACCAAGTTCTCTCTCTCTCTCTTCTCTCCCTCTCAAAACCCTAAGAGATTCTCGGAGTTCGAGCGATACTCTCAATCACCGGAAGCTCCGAATTGCTTCGGATTTGTCGGGATTCCGGCGGGGTTTCGCTCCGGCGGCGAGCTCGGGAGGGCCGGGCCGGGTTGGAGATTTGGTTCCGGATTTCGTCGCTCTCTTTGGTGGGCGGTGGGGTTGGTGGTGGGGGGAGGAGGTGGTGCGGAGCGCGGGGGGCCCGGGTTTTTTGTGCGCGCGCGGGGGGGTCGAAGCATGTCGTCGCTGAGCAGAGAACTGGTGTTCCTCATACTTCAATTCCTCGAGGAAGAGAAGTTCAAGGAGTCGGTGCACAAGTACGCTTCCCGTGTGTGTGTTTTTGGTGTTTTCTTTTCTTGTTTTGCGCGGCTCTTCGTGTTTGTTTCTTGAGATGGTTGAGCGAAACGAACTCCTGCGAGGTGCGCGAATTATGCCGAGACGGTTTCGGTTTTTCTTTTCGTGTGCGTGTGTGGGTGTGTTTGAAATTTGTGAAATGAAAGGTGGGGGAAAGCGTCGATCTTTTCGGTGGGAGCGAGGGGGATGAAGAGTTGGGACTTCTCTGTTGCTTGCTGACTTGTTTGTCTGGCTTCTTTTTCCGGGAATATGATGGTGGGTTTAGGACGGTTGTCATGCATGACCAGATGCGGGGATTTTTATTTGTTGAAAATGGTGAAGTAACGAGATCGCGTGCGTTGCGAAAGGGGTAAACGTAGGAGGGTGCATTTTCGAAGCGCATCAGCTGGAACTTACGAGTGCAGCTTCGTTAACGTTTGTCCTGTAGAAGACAGAAACAGAGGATGACCAGGGGAGGTCTTTCTTTTTCCTCTGAATGCGAAACTGAAGTTCTCGGCGGAGTACTGAAGTTTGATTTCAGTTCTTGCTGGCTTCTTTAATCGGGAATAAGAGAGCTGAAGTTATTAATTATGCGTTTTCTGTAAGGTTGTGGTTTTTTGTGAAGTGTTTAGCTTCTTTAGAAATTTTGAGAATTTTAGTGGAAGCAGGGATAATATTTGCATCTGGAGCTTCACGCCTCCTCAGGCTTTCTTGGATCGTGACATGAAAGGGGATAGAAGTTAGGATTCTCTGTCACGTGCTAATTTCTCTTTCCTTTCATTTTACCCAAATCTTCATTTCTTTGCAGGAGTTTTCTAAAAGATTTTTGCAAATGGGTTCAGGACATTTCCTGTGCATGACATGATATAGAAATTTTACGTATTCAATATGTTGAAAATGAGCAATTATTGAGACTTCACACATTGCAAAAAAGAGAGAAGAAAAAAAGAAAAAAATTATTATTGGGTTCACTGTTAGTGTGAAGTTATTCTTACAGATTTATCGTTAGATGAGTGTTATGTGTGTTTGTATTTAGCTTTGCAACCGGATTCTTTCACATGTCAATAATCCAATGGTGAATGTGTAAACTATATGTTACAACTGCACAGGACTTAATAAAGAATCAACAAAAACCTTTTCCCATATTTAAAAACATTAGTTAGTTTTTAAGAGTGCTGTAGGGCTTAGGTACTTGTTGACGTTTTCACATTCAAAAAGACATGAAGATGAGGAAGGTTTCTTTGATAGTTTAATACCTTGGCTACTTTGAGCGTTGCTTCTATGTACTTCAAATAATTGTCCAAATGAAATCTGAAGTGAAAATTTGGATAGCTTTTAAATGCTGTGGCTGTTGATGTGGGATATGATTGTATGCTATTCTAGTTTGAAGACTTTGTCAACTAACTTTTGCTAGAAGAACGGGTCTGTGTAAGCTTAGAATACTCCAGAGCAATATTATTCTGCATTTTCTCCTGTACTAGTTACCAAATTGGTTCAAGAGCCTTGGAAAGTAATTTTTAAGGGATTACCTGGTAGGTTGGAGAAAGAATCAGGGTTTTACTTTAACATGAAGTACTTTGAGGAGAGAGTTCAGGCTGGAGAATGGGAAGAAGTTGAGAAGTACTTGACTGGATTTACCAAAGTTGACGATAATCGTTACTCCATGAAGATCTTTTTTGAGATCAGGAAGCAGAAGTACCTTGAAGCACTTGATCAGTAAGTAACAGTCTACTGTGTTAGCATCAGTTTTTTGTCATCTGCAGAAATTCGTGATTTCTGTCTTTTTTCCTCACGACCAATGTAATGCTTCAGGCAAGACAAAGCAAAAGCAGTTGAAATATTGGTGCATGATCTGAAAGTATTCTCCACATTTAACGAGGAGCTGTACAAAGAGATAACCCAGCTTCTAACTCTCAGCAATTTTAGGTACCTTCGGCATATGACTTAGTTGTTTTCCGTGAATGGGCATTATTGAAATGTTTCCTTTTCTAAATCTCATACGAGTGAAAAGGGATCAGGTACAAAGAATTCGATTTAAAGAGTTGAAAATGTGTTCTTGCTGATGTTCATTGAGCAAGTGATCTAATTTAACTTTGTAAAAGTAGTTTCTTCACAATTGCTTGATATTTGAGGAGACAGTATACAAGCTATTCAAGGTTGAGTCGATTTCTCAATTACTTATTTTTGAATGGCAGGGAAAATGAGCAGCTCTCCAAGTATGGAGACACCAAAACTGCTAGGAACATAATGTTGATAGAGTTGAAGAAACTTATTGAGGCAAATCCCTTGTTTCGTGATAAGTTGATTTTTCCTTCTCTAAAGTCTTCGAGATTGCGGACTTTAATTAATCAAAGGTAAGGTTGAATTGGTGCGCGGCACTTAATAAATCCACGACTTCCTTTTATCTAAAGCTGTTCTGCCATTGATCATTATCTTCACAGAGACCTTTTAGAGAGAGAGAGAGAGAGAGAGAGAGAGAGAGAGAGAGAGAGAGAGAGAGAGAGAGAGAGAGAGAGAGCTTTTTTTAATTAAATGCTGTGTACAATTATGTATGATGTGATATATACTCCAGTCAGGCCTTAGGTTGTCATATCTTTTGTTGCAAGTGTGTATTGTTTGAGGTGAAAAACTTAAAGTGTCGTAGTCATTTTATTTTCTGTAGCTTCTCGCTCATTGAAGCTGTAAGACATCCGTTGACATTGACAATTAATAAATCCAGGACTTTCCTTTTATCAACAGCTGTTCTGCCATTATAATCATCTTCACAGAGACCTTTAATACACTGTTGCTAACTAGCTTATGCATTCTCTGCGTCAAGATTGCGTGCACACACTTGAGAGAGAGAGAGAGAGAGAGAGAGAGAGATCTTTCCAAGGTATTCTGTTAATTAAATGCTGTGTACAATTTTATATTATGTGATAGCCATTTTATTTTCTGTAGCTTCTCACCTGTTGAAGATGTAAGGCATTCGTTGACATTTTCTCGTACAATTTTCTGTCTGCTTCTTGGTACTTCTGTACCTGCTCCATGCAGTTTGAACTGGCAACACCAACTATGCAAAAACCCAAGGCCAAACCCTGACATAAAAACATTATTTACGGATCACACATGCAATCCTCCCAATGGTCCTCTCACACCTGCGCCTGTAACTCTGCCTGTTAATGCAGGCGCAAAATCTGCTGCTTATCCACCACTCGCAGCACATGGGGTAGGATATAGTTACCTTGTATGATCTCTCATATTTTTTGGCTTAAATGAATTCGTATCAGAGTTCGTGAAAATTTTATTGAACTTTTGGTGTAGCCCTTTCCAGCCACTGCAACAGCAGCTGCTGGTGCAAATGCTTTAGCAGGTTGGATGGCCAATGCCTCTGCTTCTTCATCAGTTCAAGCAGCTGTGGTTACTGCATCTTCAATACCCATCCCACCTAACCAAGGTCTTGGCCTTGAACAAGAGTCGCTCTATATGTACCATTCAGAAATACTTTTCTAAATTTGTTTTGCCTGGTTGTTGCAATCTGACCGAAAACCTCTCTACTCGGCAGTTTCAATCTTGAAAAGACCAATAACACCTCCAGCAGGTCCTGGGATGGTTGATTATCAGAATCCAGATCACGAGCAACTAATGAAGAGGCTTAGACCTGTTCCGTCTGTTGAGGAGGTAATCAAGGATTTTCTTCCCTAGATGAAATTCGGGAACATCGAGCAGCCTTTCTAGGTTTTTCCCCTTATAGAAACTTCTGCTCTCTGAAATTGAATGAAAGTTCATCCTCTTATGTTGGATGGTTCTTTCTGCTCAATGTTCAGGTTACATACCCAATACCTCGGCAACTAGCTTCTTGGTCGTTGGAGGATTTGCCTAGAACGGTTGCTTTGACCATGCATCAAGGATCTTCTGTCACTAGCATGGATTTTCATCCCTCCCATCCTTCAGTGCTTCTTGGTATCATTGCAAACACCTTCCCTTACAAAGAACATTGACATACACAATGCATCTCTGTGATTCTTTGACTTGGTTCTGTCCTACAGTTGGGTGTACTAATGGTGAAATTACGCTGTGGGAACTTGTATCCCGGGAGAAATTGGTTTCAAAGCCATTCAAAGTTTGGAACATTCAGGTTTTGTTTTTAAGTTTTGCTGATGAATTCCTGGGATGCACTCTTTTTATACCATTGAATTGACAATCTTTTTAAGCGTCTATTACTACTGGTTGACTATATATATTGACTCTCTGCCTATGGATTTCCAAAAGTACTCAAGAATATACCTTTAAGTATGGGGATTGAAACCTGACAATGAGATGTTGTACAGCCTGCTGCAGCTGCTGCTAAGGATAGTGTTGTATCTGTCACCCGTGTCATGTGGAGTCCAGATGGAAATTTCATTGGTATTGCACTTTGACAGATGTAAGATATTTCAATCAGCTTGTGTACGTGCCTCATATTATTTCTTACCTCAGGTGCTGCATTCACCAAGCATTTGGTACACCTATATGCCTGTCATGGATCCAATGATTTACGTCAGCAAATGGAGGTAGTTTGATACTTGGTGTTTCACCGGGAAAGTAGTGTGAATGCAGGTTGATGTGAGTATATTCTTTGTCACAGATTGATGCCCATACTGGTGTTGTCAATGACTTGGCCTTTGCTTATCCTAACAAACAACTATGCGTTGTGACTTGTGGAGATGACAAGTTGATAAAGGTGATGACGGAAATTTCCTGAAGTTTCTTTGATCAAGTTGCATTTTTAATTTCACTCACTAGAAATATGAACAGGTGTGGGATTTGAATGGAAGGAAGTTATTTAACTTTGAAGGCCATGAAGCACCTGTGTATTCTATCTGTCCGCATCACAAGGAAAATATTCAGGTGAGCTGGAAAAAGGGCAGAAAAGTTTTGTGTAGGGGAAAAACATTTAAAGCACTGGAGTTTAGGTTAAGGATATTCTGATTTTAGTCATGTAGTTATGTTAAAGTCTTTACGCTGCCTAGAACTGGAGACTGTTTCACACGACATCTTTTCCATGATAATGTTACAAACCTGATGAAAGAACTTTGTGATGAACTACTTCTTTCCTGGATGTCATATCCTGCTGAATGGAGATGTCATGGTGCAGATAGCAAATTGTATTCTACAGTTTGGCTGACTAATGATGTCTTACTCTGGAAAATTGTGAAAGATGGTTGGTTGGTGAATAGTGCATGATAGTCACTGCTATAAACTGTGTGCATGATTGTTATGTCGAACTCTTCCCTTCCAGAAAAAGAATTTCTTATGTCATTGATTGTCCCACTTTTTGGATTTCAGTTCATATTTTCAACTGCAATGGATGGCAAAATAAAGGCCTGGCTCTATGACAATGTGGGTTCTAGAGTTGATTACGATGCTCCAGGTCGTTGGTGTACAACAATGCTTTACAGTGCTGACGGAAGTAGGTAAGAAAGTAAATCACTGTATAATTGAACTTTTGATATTTTATTTTTTTGTTCTTTAGAGATCCTAGAATAATGTGGTAGCGTTCTTGTCAATATTTTTGGATTTTTTTTCCTTTGTTTCCTTTGTAGTTTCTTATTTTTCCATTTAGTGTTTTACCTAATATTTTCACTGTTTTAGATTGTTCTCATGTGGAACAAGTAAAGAGGGAGACTCTTTTCTTGTGGAGTGGAATGAAAGTGAAGGAGCAATAAAGCGGACATACTCTGGGTTCAGGAAAAAGTCTGCTGGTGTTGGTGTTGTGCAATTTGATACCACGCAAAATCATTTTTTGGCTGCTGGTGAAGATGGCCAAGTAAAATTTTGGGACATGGATAATAATAATGTCATAGCCAACACTGATGCCGAAGGTGGACTTCCGGTCAGTATCTTCAATGTCAATTCTTTCACGGAAAACTGTATATGTGCTTTTTGGTTTTACATGTTTTGTTTTACTTTATCAGAGTCTTCCTCGCTTGAGATTCAATAAAGAAGGCAATTTACTTGCTGTTACTACGGCTGACAATGGATTCAAGATACTTGCGAATGCAGTTGGTCTCAGATACTTAAAAGTGAATGAAACTCCTGCATTTGAGGCTATGAGAACTCCAATTGAGTCTGCAGCAATTAAGGTTATGTTTGTACACATTTTTTAGGTCTGTTATTTATTCCTATGGAGGGAATATTCAGGGGACTTATGCTGGCCTCTCTATCATTTGGGACCATGTAGGTTTCTAGCTCTCCTGCTGTTGCAAATGCCAGTCCGGTCAACTGCAAGATTGAAAGAAGCTCTCCAGTCAGACCTTCGTCGCATCTTGTATATAATCTGATCTGTTTATTCTACAAGTCATGACAAATTGTTCTCAGCTTCCCTATATCTTGCTAGGATAGAGTGTTAATTATCTTTTGTCTTGTTTTTCCTGTCTCACTAGAATGGAGTTGATTCCATGGGACGGAGCCTGGAGAAACCAAGAGTAGTTGAGGAAGCAGTTGATAAAACCAGACCCTGGCAGTTGGCTGAAATTACGGATCCTGGCCACTGCCGGTTGGTTACCATGCCTGACAGCAATGATACTTCCAACAAGGTGCAATGAGTTTTAGTTTTTGATTATTTCTCTTTTGATGATATCCTTGTATATCACATTCTTGCTGGTTTTATATCCAGGTTGTTAGACTTCTCTACACAAACTCAGGTGTTGGCATTTTGGCCCTCGCAGCAAATGGTGTCCAGAAGCTGTGGAAGTGGGCTCGAAATGATCAAAATCCAAGTGGAAAGGTAATGAGCTTTTGTGGTGCATGTACTTTTCACATTTAACTCCAACATCTGGAGCGTTCATGAGTTGGCAGAAGTGATTGCTGAACTTGGCAAGTGTTTTTAAGGCCACTGCCAGTGTTGTTCCTCAGCATTGGCAACCGAGCAGTGGTCTTCTTATGTCTAATGATGTATCAGGTGTCAACCTGGATGAAGCAGTACCATGCATAGCACTCTCAAAGAATGATTCGTATGTTATGTCTGCTTGTGGTGGAAAGGTCTCATTGTTTAACATGATGACTTTCAAGGTATGTTGCCAATGAAGTCATTCAAATTCTCCATTGGGATCCTGTATTGCTGGCCATTAATTGCTGCTGCTCTTTTCAGGTAATGACAACGTTCATGCCACCACCTCCTGCTTCAACCTTCCTTGCATTCCATCCTCAGGATAATAACATCATTGCGATTGGAATGGAGGATTCAACTATCCATATCTACAATGTCAGAGTTGATGAGGTAAATTAGAATTACTTTTTTTGAGGGTCTATACTGCCCTTCAACTGCAACTGATATAAGATTATCGTTTGCAGGTGAAGTCGAAATTGAAGGGCCACCAGAAGCGCATAACTGGTTTAGCTTTCTCCACCAATCTCAATATCCTGGTCTCATCAGGTGCTGATGCTCAAGTAAGTGAAAATGCATCATTTCTGTTTTCTTTTTTCACCTGCTATTCTTAAGATTATAGTTGAATGGTAAATGATAATGGTTGCTGAACTCTGAAATAGTTGTATAATTGACAAGTAGATTTATCGAGGAATAAGATGACAAAGGCATGACTGATATATTAGGTCATTGGTGAAGATACAGGACTTTGCATCAGTTCGGAAGATTCTTAGATGTGAGAGGGAGGTAAAGAAAAATAATGGGAAAATGATGAGAAGTCCAAGGGTGATCGGGTGGCCCTGCATGGCAGAATAGAAAGCTTTATTGTATCCGATTATTTATTTCTCAGAAACGCAGCTCCAATTTATCGTGAGAAAGTTTTCTGATATGTTCGTTATTGACTTGTTATCAAGTTTTTTCCCCCAACAGTCGCATGGTGTAGTTACTTGTATGTGGGTGGAGATCTGAACTGGTTCTCCTTTTATTTAAAGTGGCTTTTGTTAGGGCTTCCATACTTTTCCCTTATTTGGGTTTTCCTCAGAATTTTCTTCTATGTTTTTTGACTTTCAGTTTTTCTTTGAGCAAACCTACTCGAGAATTATCTGTCAAAGGCAACATGCAGTTTCCTTTGTTCCTTTTGTGTATCTCTAGCACGTGTATAATTGTCACTTCTATTTCCAGCTTTTCGTATGGAGCATCGATTCCTGGGAGAAAAGGAAGTCTGTCCCGATCCAAATGCCAGCTGGAAAAGCACCTAATGGTGACACTCGAGTACAGTTCCATGCAGATCAAATCCGTTTACTCGTAGTTCACGAGACGCAGTTGGCAATATACGATGCATCCAAAATGGATCGCATTAGACAGGTAGGTTAATCTTCCTTGGTGTCGGTAACTGATTGTCTGAGGCTCACTCTGTTGATCTTGACATTTTTTATGTATCACTGTTTCAGTGGGTCCTGCAAGATGCCCTTTCTGCTCCGATATCTTGTGCAGCATTTTCCTGCAACAGCTTGTTGGTGTACGCGACGTTCCGTGACGGTAACATCGGGGTGTTTGATGCTGATAACCTCAGATTAAGATGCCGCATAGCTCCATCCACTTACTTGTCCCATGGGGCATTGAATGGGTATGTCCGTGCTGCCCTTATCTATGATTGTGTTCCGAGAACCAAAAAATAAAATACTCATCTGTGATTGTTCTTTACTGCGGGGGGTGCCTTGCCTCAATGCTTAGTCGCTTTGATATGTATTATTGCAGAAGTCAACCGTTGTATCCGCTCGTGGTTGCGACACATCCAGTGGAGCCCAACCAATTAGCCGTTGGTTTGACAGATGGGTCTGTCAAAGTGATGGAGCCAGCAGAGTCAGATGGAAAATGGGGAGCAACTCCACCCTTAGACAACGGAATGCTGAGTGGTAGAACGCCGTCATCGTCTACGACAAGCAACCACACTCCAGAACCAGTACAGAGATAGATGACCTTTGTTATGTACACATTCCAATCTTTTCCCTTTTTTTCTTCTTCTGAGTTCTTCCTATTTCTCATAAGTAGATTGTAAGGTTGTCGAGTTAATGTGTCCCTTATCAAAAGGTAAGCAGGGCATTTATGCTTTATAAGCTAGAACGTTCTGGTATATACTTGGTTAATCAATGTACACATGTTTCTGTTCAGTTTTAGCACCATAGTTTTAAGAATCTATTCTTTCCTTTCCATTAGTACATGTTACTTGGGTCCGTTCCCTGCGAGATTCTTTTACGGCAAATCCAGAAATGCATAGACGTAAAAAACGGTGGTAATTACCCAGGTTGGAACGATTGTTAAGTACGGTTTTCTTAGGAGGTTTTTTCGCGGTAATATGAAGAGCTCCACATTAATGCTTGTTTTGGTGATGGCACAGAGCTAAGTGTCAACTATTAATTCAAGTACATCTGTGGCTTCTGATAAAATACTTAGGTTCTGTGTAAATGGGTTGAATCACTAACTACATAAATAAACAATGCAATCCATACTTAACCAAAGCATGGATTCTACTTGGGGTTTATACTTCCCTTGGCTTTGCTGAAATATGTCTGTTCATGAACGTGAAGGCAAGCGTAAAAAAAGGGTCGTGTCAAGCGTGCTAAGGAAAGTATGATTCGGTTTTCAAAACGGCGATTCTAGATAAAACGAGATGTCTGCTGCATTGAAAATTGCAAAGTTTTGCGAAATAGCTGCTTACCAAGTGCTTTGGAGGCACTCATTGGCAAACAGTTGAATTCTTGAAGAGGACGATTAAGGTCACTTTAATTTCGAGATACTTGCTCAGAAAGTCTTAAACTTATTGACAGCTAATTTAAACCTAAACATTTCAATTGTACTCATTTAATTTTAAACCTTTTGACGATTTGCCAATTTAGTCATTTCGGTCAATTTTGGCCGAAATTCGCCGATGTGAACGCCATCCATCTTACATGGTACCGGTCCTGATGTAGATAATTTTTGCAATTTTTAATTTTTTTTTTATCAATTTGTTCCTTTTTTTTTTCTTTTTTATTTTACTATTCTTCTCCCCTGAATAACTGGCGTCGGCTAGCAAGAAGCATTAGTAATGTCACATATGACGACCGACATCTACGTCATTAATTTTCAGCCAAATTTGACAAATCGTCAAAATGTTTTATGACTAAATTGATTGAAACATTAGGAACTAAATTGGCCGCCGTATACTAAGTTTAGTACTTTTTAGGCAATTGAAGAGCATTGGATCCACAAAGCTCTACCCGAACATTGAAAAAACATGAGGCTTCACCGGATTGGTCTTGAAGATCTTAAGAAATTTCTATGATCGGTGTCAAAGTGCATGCAAGAGGCAGGCTGGAGGCCAACAGAGGCAGCTGTGCAAATTCAGGTGTCAGCAGCGGAGAGATGGAGAGGAGAGGGAGAGGCCTGACGAAGGAGATGTTAAGTCTCGTGTTAGGAACTATATGTTTTGTAAAATTAGTATGAAAAAACATACTCGACATTTTAAATGACTCGCATCAACACTTCACCATATCTCACATCATAATTTTACAAATCGAATCTTAGCATATTTACCATTCCTTACAAATCTTTTCATGTTAAAAATACTAGCCAACTCGTATGAGTATGAATAAATCATGCTGGTCCGATTACCTAAATCAAGCGGAATTGATAAAGTGATTGGTTATCTGAACCGGCGAACTTGTGAAAATCATGACATAGAAGTATGGTTCATTTACAAGAAAATCATGTTTTTTATGAGAAAAATGCTTCATTTACACATTTTATTGTATATTATGAAATGGTTAGTTTCAATACTATTATGTAAACTTTTCACCTTGCATATAAAATGATGAATTTATCTCGCGTTCGTCATAATTCTCCGTAGCTTATTATTATTATTATTTCATTTTCACGTTGTTTACATGGGATGAGATTTTCTTTTTCAATTAATCCCTTCCTGTGAGTGTCAATGGAAAGAGAAGATAATTAGTCACGCATGTGAATCTTGTATAAGTTATATCCCATTTCCATACAAAATTTTGATTTTAGACCATATCATTAAGTAAATTAATCATTCATGCACATTCAAGCGCTGTCGGGGGAGTACAAGATGAATTAAAACAGTCCAATTTCTTGGCAGCCCTGATAATTTGATGGAATGATTATTCAAGAAGTCCTAAATCTATTGTACGGCGGCAAATTCAGTCTTGAACTTTTCAATTTTAGCAATCTAGTCATAAATTTTATTGACGATTTGCTAATTTAGTCCTAAATCTTCTAACGATTTGCCAATATAGTTCTTCTAGCTAATTTTAGCCATAAATCGCTAACATGGCGATAGGACGGTCGGCGTCCAAATCAGCAATATCCGACCAGAATTGGCCGGAATGATTACAATGGCATATTCTTTAAAGGTTTATGATTAAATTAGTAAAATTGGAAAGTTCATAACTGAATTGACCATTGCGTAATAGGATTAGGAGTTTTTGGATTTTTTCTTTCCGAACTTGATTGACCGTATTGTAATTCCAATTCCAACCTCAGAGCTCTAGAAGCAGTAACCCTAGTTGGACCTTCGGTTTGGTCACCATTGACGAAGTCCAAAGCTGCAATTCAAAGGCTGGTTTCTTAGCATTCGGAGGAAGTTGGGGTTTGGTGGTTATCTGTTACATTTGGCTCGGAAAAAGAAAGCAACTTTGATTAGGTGGGGGTCACATTAAGCTGATTTGATCATCCAACTTTGACGATGCAACTTTGATTGGGAGGGGCACATTAAGCTGATTGGTCATCAAACTTTGACAATCTTGATTGCAAACAATCTAAAACTATAACCGAAAAATTGCACGTCACGGTCTCTAGCTATAGCTTCATAATGCCATTCAATCCCCATTGCTTTTACGTCTCAGGAAAATTACCAAGAAAGTCTTAAACTTAATATATTTGTGCCAATTTAGTCCTCAACTTTTCAATTTGGTCAATTTATTCCCACACCTTTTGATGACTTGCCAATTTAGTTTTTCCAACCAATTTTGATAGGAAATTTCTGACGGTGTTTTTCGACCAATTTTGACCGAAATCTTTAACTTGGACACCGTTAGTGCCAAGCCGATAGTGGCACTGACGTGAATTGTGTGTTATAATTTTTTAATTTTTTTAATTCTATTTTTAATTTTTCTTTCTTTCTTTTTCTCTTTTTTATTTACGAAGTTTGGCGAGGGCGAACGCCACGATGCCCTTGTCGATTGCAAGCAAAGGCCACAGCCCTTGTCCAGTCACCAACCCTCGCCCATGATCGACGAGGGTCGACCAACAAACCTTTTTGGGCTTTGAAGAAAAAAAAAGGAAAAGAAAAAAATTCAAAATCTTTTTAAGAAACTATAAAAATTATTCACATCAGTACCGACCATACCACGTAGGACAACCGACATCCACATCAGCAATTTCCGATCAAAATTGGCTGAAATGACTAAATTAATCAAATTAAAAAGTTTAGGACTGAATTGGCATAAGTTCAATAAGTGAAGAACTATTTTGATAATTTCTCCCATATGTCTCCATTCCCCGACAAAGGTAAATTTTAACCCACATCATTGCATCTTGCATCGGGTTCATAGTTAAACGGAAAAATCAGTGCATTATAAAGCTTGAACTAGTAGATATAAAGATTAAGTGGCTAATCCAAGAGTGAAATAGTGAATCATTCTTCTATAAGCCCGAGATGGAGGCATCATGACTTCATTTCAACAGGGGCACCCTTTTCAACTACAATTGCCAACGAACTGATTATATTCTCCAGCTTTTGAAGTAGTATGTGAGGATTCAAGAAGTCGAATGCGGCACACAAAGGATCAGATCAGCAAAGAAAGCGATTATTTTTTCCGCGTTTTACTTAATAAATGGCCTGAAACAGAACCTCGCGGCAGAGTCTGCTCGGGCCTACAACATAAGTCAAAGAGGCAACTAATTCCTACGTTACTTATTCCACACTTCTTGTGTGTGTAGTAATAGAAGTAGTACACAGGCATATTCACTACAAACAACAAACATACCCTAGAAGATGACTGGGCTCCCATGACAACTTGACGTCTGCCATCACCGCGACCGTGACCTACTAGATAACTCATAATCCATCATCAAGGACGGTGGACAACAGGACGCCACGAACAAAGTCGCATCTTTTCAACCTCTCTTTTTGCTCCTTGACAGATAAAGGAGACGACTGAACTTTCCTGCCGCCAGCAGACAAGAAAGAATGAACCCAGTGGATAATCATAAGTAATAAGCACACGACTAATATCACCACAAAACATCGATCACTACAAGATGCAGATTTGTCCAATTCCTTAAGTTTTTTGTGATTCAAGTAGCCGGGAGAAAAAAAAAAAAGACTGCAGCATTGCTGGTTCAATCACTTAACGTGGCTGAAGATTATGCTAGTTAGTATTTTTGCCAAAGTAAATATCCTCAACATTGTTATCTCTTTACATCAACCAGACTTATCTCCATCAGTTCCACTGAGAATTTTTATATCTAAGAACCAAAAGTGATAGGATCAGAACTTTGCACATTTAACTCGATTCTGGGGGCAGACAAGAAAATAAGAAAAATATTTGCAGCACGGGTTGGGGGTAGTAATTGTAAGCTGGATTAACACAGATGTCCATATCCATGCGTGACAACAGAAACGTTATATAATCAACTCAAAGAGGAGATCAAGACAATTCAAAGACCGAAAAGAGCTATGGCCGATTTCCAACCCTAGCCATAAAGCCGGTGAACATCTTGGATTTTGATAAAGCAACTGAGTAAGTAATAATTCTTAAAACGCATGCCCCTGCACTGCCAGTCTCAAAGTTATTTTATTAATCATTCACTGGAAGACTAGACTTCATCATAAAGTGAGAATTTTCCATACTAACTGTAATTTTCAATCATTGTAAAAGAACATTGCAAGAACTTACAGACGCCTTCCTTCTTTTCTTGTCATTCAAAAAAAATAGAATACTAACATTTCATTCCACAACTGCAAAATTTTCCAAAAAGCAAAAAAGTAAAGGCACAGTGAAGGTGATAAAAAAAAAGTACGAAGTACCTCTCTGACAGAGTCTCATCTGAGCTTTTCTTGGACGAGCTAGTTTCTGTCATATCGCGAGACTTAGTGCTGCCGAAATCATCATTCATAGGCAAAATGAAAGATGACAGCAGTGGATCTGGTGCTGCGTTGGAGGAGGGAACCACGCAAGAAGAGCCACCAAAGAGGGACTGTAGAGTTCCTTCTCGAAGCTCTCTCCTCAATAAAAAGAGTGTAGAATGATTCCCAGCTTTACGTGATTTCCGCTTGCGTTGCACGTAATCACCGTTAAGGATATCAAATATCAAACAAACCTTACAATGATTAAAATAAGCATCACAAATGTTCCGCAACAATAATATAACCAGAAAGAATGCAGAATTTTCTACCATCGCAGCGGACTGCCATTCTAAAAGTCAATTGGAAGCTTAAATTGACGTCAGCAAGTAAATTGCAAAACTAAACTTCAAGAGACTTTAATTGTGTAAAAATGTAAATAGACATACTGCAGAGCACTCAACTTGCAATCGAGGGGAAAATCTAAGAGCAGATAAGAGGTTATGCAGCAGAAGTATGTACAATACATATACAATTGAAAGGATATCTTAAATATATTTCCATGTTGCAGGGTAATGTGTGCAACCATATCAACCCCCACTCTCATTGTACAAACTGGACAAACCTGCATAAAATACCAGATCAAGGCATTAGAGGGTCGTAAAATGAGCATTCTTCACTTAAAGAAAAGCCCTAAACAACAACCACCCCAGCCCATATAAAAGTATAAAGAAATGGAATCAAGACGGATGAGAAGCAAAGTGAAGGAATGGACACCAATCCTATGCCCACAGAGAAACGATGGAAGAACAAGTACCACTATAGTTACAATATGTGAAGAAGCGGTTGTGACCATCCCATTACATGCAAAGCAACATATTACCCCATGGCTCATGAAAATCATTAGTCTTTCAAGTGTGAAATGGCCATGTGCATCATCAAGTGTCAACTTATTCAGGTCTTCATTTCTAGCAAGCCTCTTCTAGACCAGCTTCCTCCAAACATAACTATGCGAAAGCCCAAACAGGATACACATTTATCTCTCCAGACATCACGTGAGGCCAGAAGCAGACATAAGAGACAGGTACGCAATTGCAAATAGGCAACAAAATATGGTAAAGAATCTCACATTTTCCTATCTATAATGTTTGACTAAACCTTATATAAATGTAGAATTTTTTTTTTAACCTATTGGTTTTAAGTTTTTGGATTGGACCTTCTAATATGGTATCAAAGTTAGTTTCCGCATCCTTCATAACTAGGCATGTGTAGCTCCCTGTTTCATAGTTTCACGTGGTTTCTTCACTATAGTTCAATTCGGTTTGCAAGAGAGAGAGGACGTTTGAGTGTTTTCCGGCATCACTTGAATATTGGGTTTGACTGAGTTTCTTGTCCATATAGTCTCTCCCTCTGCCTATTGGCTTAAGTTTTTGGGTAACATTCCAACAAATTGAAAGAGTTGGAGCCAACCTTCCGAACCAAATCAAAGAATCGCACTCTGACCATAGGGGAATACACAATCATTTATGGACTCAATAAGAATCAGCACTATCACGATAGCCATGCAGCATGAGCATGAAAAGTAAAAGATCCAGATCTTCACCATGGAAAGTCTAATTATGAGCCATGGAGAGTGAAATTAAGTTTCATGTATCATACTTCGTACCTTGCGTAAAAGCCATGGAGTGTGCAAGTATGGACGAAAGGTACTTGATGAATTAATAGTGAAAATGCTACACCAATTGTTCTCTAATAAAAAGGAAGCACAAGAAATGAGAGAGGGGAGCTAAATTCATAAAAAAAACGCAAGAAGAAAGTGGAGAAACTAGGCAGATGAACATGTTTTCTTCCCCTCTAAAGTCTTCCTTCTGATTTCAGAATAAACGATCATGGTTCTTTTCTAGTCAATTAATACAATTTTGGCAACTCAATAATCATAGAAAGCACCATGATGTCGTATCAAATCGCTTTCGTTAATCAGGACTTGAAACTCTTAACTTTCTATCATCTTCAAGTTGACAGGAGCGTAACAACATCACAGCAAGTCAAAATCACAATAACCACAATCATACCAGCGGATAAAACTGAAAATAACATCAATCAACTCTATTAAGAATTTGAACCTGAAACCTAATGGAGAAACTTCAGAAAAGGATTTAATATCCATCTCTTCAAGTTTGCAACTCAACGGAAAGTGCAACAAGTGAAAGCAGACCAATTTCATACCCCATTCTTTGCCTCCATTGGGTGCTCATCATCCATGTGGCAGCACAAGCCAACAATGTCGAAGTACTCCGAACAAAACGGACATGAAAATTCTTCTCTTATATCGTCCTCATCAATTTCTTCAAACCCCATAAACATATCTGCATTCACACAACCCTACCATTATTATTAGGATAATACAACAGCAAATCATGTCAGACTCGTAAAGCATTCTGACTGTCCATTTGTAAGATGTTTGAGAGAATCTAAGCACAATCTTACCGTCCAATCATTTCAGAAAAGAAAGCACAATTAACAGTTGAGTATAATCTAAAGAAGAGGGTACTAAAATTTTCTCGAGTACACCCAGGAGAAGGAGAAACTCGCATTTCAATAAGCTACTTCATTCATTTTTTGCTGTCAAAGGGGGTGGATAATTATGAAAATGCAAATAAAAAAAGAATTATGCTACGCTAATTAAGAATTTAAGATCGCACACTACCATCATCAACTAGGTGTTACCACTAGGGCTCCTCTCCCACATAATTGGGGCTCAATTTTGTATTGAGTCTTCCAATAGCACTAAATGCTCCATATCTTTCCTTATAAGTTATACTGTCATTTTGCGTCTTTTTTTAGTTATTTATTTTGCCCCTTTTAACCCGAGTCTCCATCCTTTTAATCCCATTTGAAGCCTCAAAAGCCATCAGCCTACATGAAGGAACTATCCTAAACGAGTTCCTCTCATCTTATCCTCATTTGCACCACACCTACTTTTGCCTGGATATATTCATTTCTAATCCAGTCTTTCGTCATGTGCCCACACAAGAGAAGGGAAATCGAACTGCATCAGACACCACTACTTATACTGGAGGTAGAGGCATGCATCTCTCTGTGTGTCATTGCACCAGTACTCGAAGAAAACTTTAACAGGGCCCGATATGTAAGCGCGCGCACCCTTTTCCCTCAGAACTACAAAGAATGCTTTATTTCAGATGTATAATGAACAAAGAGCACCCAATATCTCCAAACCAAGTACACCGAACAAGCTAAGCAAGATTGAAGACTATGCTCATCATTTCCTACACCAATTGAAAAAAAAAGAGATCATTTCTCCCAACAGATGCTGAAAATGTCCAACGCCCAAGCCAAAAATCCCTGTTCCGATCGTCGCTTGTCGACACATACGCGCAGCATCGGCCCGAAATTCACAAAAAACCAAAGCGAAAAAGCAACAACCCACCATCACCCAGAAGCAAAAGAACAACCGACCATCACCCGGAAACATCATCGGCCCAACTACAGCAGAGCTTCTCCGCTCCGCGAACCCAGAACAGTCCCACAAACCGCACAAAAAAATTCAACATTTCCACGCCATCGGCCGCGATCATATCGCCAGCCACCAACCACAATCGATCGAGAATTCGTACAAAGGGGCGGTAGCGAAACTGACCAGATCTCGACTGGAGGGCCGATTGGTACCGCTTGGAAGCCGAAGAGAGGCGAGCGCTCCACGAATCAGCATCCATAGCTCTCGCAGAAACTTCCCCCCCGAAGAAACTCCCCGAAAAAAAAAAACGATAAATTACGCCGGGAAAAAAAGGCTCGAAATGGCTAGCGCGGCGGCGGCGATGATCGCTCCGGCGGGAAGGGTTTCCGAATCGATGGGCGGCGGACGGCGGTTCAATCTGCGGATGCGGCGGTCGAAGAAGCCGAGAGCGCGTCGGGAAGAAGAAGAAGAAGATCGAGAGAGAGGATTTGGGGGTCGAGTTTGGCCTTTCGGAGAGAAGAAGAGAGAGAAAGAGAGAGGGGTGTGTGTGTCTCTGTGTGTGTCGTGTTCTTTCTCTAATTTTTTTTTCTCCCTTTTTGTGAATTTTCTGCGGGTGGAATTCACCGAGAATGAAAAAAATGTCATTTCGTGGTGCGGTTGCATTTTTTTTATATTATTCGATTATTACTGTTATTATTATTATATTTTGATGTGTTTAATTCCTGAAATATTCTTCTTTTTTTTTTTGGATTAAGCCTTTTTCATCCGGAAATCTTAACAGTGTTTCATTTTTGTTTTGTTTTCGGTCGGAAGGGATTTTAATGTTAGCTGGTGTCGTATTTTATGTGTGTTTTTGGGTTTTTCGTGCGAAACATCATCGATATTCTTATATATTTAAAGAAATAACAGAATTTACGATATTCAACATACCGCGATCGATTGTAAGGAAACGTGAAGTCATGTTTTGTTGGTTGGATCCCACTATATTTAATGTCGTCTTTTAGAACGCGTACATATCGTAGGACATGTTAATGCGGCGCGATGGGTCAAATTAACTCTTGTTTATAAACCGTTCATTTTGTACTTCATTAACCATATTGAAATTCAAATTATTTTAATTATGAGAGCACCATTTTCTTTTTAGGTTACGGCACATATTGCTTACGGGTCGAGTTGATTTTACATATAGTTGGATATTTAGATTATTTACATAAATTTTATAAAAATGATATGATAAGAAAATCAATCGATATTTAAATAAGAGATAATGACACAAATGATCTTTCAACTTTGGTCCAATGTGCAATATGGTCTCTGAATTTTTAATTTGTTCAATGCGATCCCTGAATTTTGGCGTGTGCAATATCGTCCGTCGTTCCTGAACTTTTAATTTGTTCAATGTGGTCCTTGAACTTTTTGTATATGTTCAAATTAATCCCTGGACTATATGAAAATGTTCAATATGAAATTCTAAACTTAAATTAATGAAAGGAACATTGAACATGTAGTTCAAGGAATGGTTTCAACATGTATCACAAGTTCAAAGATTACATTGAGCAATTTAAAAGTTCAAGGACTATATTGCAAATTGGCTAAAATTTAGAGATGGCATTGAACAAATTAAAATTTTAATGTTCACATTACACATTGAGTCAATATTCAAAGATCGTCTATGTCATTTTCCCTTTAAATAAGATGTAGAATAATGAAATGTATTAAATTGATTAATCTTTTACCCAAAAGATGTACGGCTCGATAATGTTACAAATGTTACCTAAATTTTGGCCTAATGTGTAATATGGTTCGTGAACTTTTAATGTGTCAAATGTGATCCCTGAATTTTGGCCTAATGTTCAATGTGGTTTATGAACTTTTCATTTGTTCAATGTGGTCCATGGATTTTTTTTTGTACATGTTCAATATAGTCTACATTGAACATTTTACTACATTGAACATGTATCAAAAGTTTAGGGATTATATTAAATAAATTAAAAGTTCATGGATCACATTATACATCGAATTAAAGTTCGAAGATTATATTAAATAAATTAAAAGTTTGGGGATCATATTGTATATTGGATCATGTCTGATAGATTATTCTTGTCATTTTCTATTTCCCACTCGTACCTCCACCCAACAATGTCGTGTAGTGGGACTCTTCACCGGCACGTGACTTTCTCGGTCTCCTGCACGTGACCTTCGAGTGCCCCCCCCCAAAAAAGAAAAAAAACGAAGAACATCTCTCTCTCTCTCCTTCCTCGATCGGTTCGATTTTGCCTTCTGCTTCTCCGATTTCGCCATGGGAGAATCCCCGCGAGCTCTCCCGCTCTCAGATCTCTGAACTCCTCCGTCGAGCTCTTCGCCCCCCGCCGCCGCCGCCGCCGCCGCCGCGGCGTTCGGGGCTCCGATTTTGGATCGCGGCAGGAGTCTTCGGTTTCCTCTGTGTCCGGAATGGCGACGCGGAATCGGACTCAGATATTCCGCAAGTACAGAGACGCGTTGAAGAGCGTCCGGGCCCCGGCCGGCTCGTCGCCGGGGACGTCGAGCTCCGGCGCGGGCCCGGTGATCGAGATGGTGAGCACGTCGCTCTTGAATCAGCATCGCTCGTACGCGCCTCTCAGCACCGAGGATCCCGGCAGCGCGAGGTATATTCGAGATTTCCCGTGCGATTTTCCGTTTCTGTGCGTTGTTAGGTTGTTTTTCAGTAGTAAGAGCAAGGATATTTTGCTTCCGGACTTTCGATTTTCCTCTTTATGGACTTGTTTGGATGGATCGGGCATTCGTTTGGTTCAGTTGAAGTCGCTGATCTGTTAGAGAAGTGGAGAATTTGTTCAATCTTTGGAGCTTTAGGTACATCACTGGTTTTTTTGAGGATCAAGTATGAGAAGATACTCCTGATAGGTTGATAGTAGGGGGAGCGGAGCAAATATTCCCGATATATTGGAACTCAAGGACTTGTATTTAGTGTGGAGGGGGATTCGATTGTAGCTTAAGGGTGGATAGATTGTTGAGCTTATAAAGAGCCATATGAAGATGGCGGAGACATTAGGTTGGAGTGAATTGAGGGTGGACATGGATTTTGGCTGTGAGGTCCTCTGTATTTGTTGGAGTCTATTGTTTTGTTTAACCAACGCTACTTGCGTCTGGCTTGCTTTGAGTGAATAATTTTGACTTGAGTAAGACTACTTCGCCATGAGTAGGACTCTGAATTCGACCACTTTGCGATGAGTAGGACACCCAATTCAACCTCTCCGACTAATAGTTGAGTACTTTGTGTGTCAGTTCATGTCGTATTCTCTGCCTTGCGTCTAACACCTGAAGCTCTCAAGCAAGCGGAGATCGACATAAGTAAGATCAAGAGCTGGTGGATCACGGGTACCTAAGATAGTCGAGCTTATAAAACTTCTTACTTGATAACTTGAGAAGAAACGTTTAGTTTTCTCCATATAGACATGCAAAATTGTTTTCTCAGTCAGCATTGAGTGAATGAACAGTCTTGCCATCTGGATCTATTCATTCTATCTAGACGTCTCGTGTACTGAATATGTAAGTATTTTTATATGTTTTGTCATTGAAATCGGAATGCCCGAGGTTTCATTTTGAATCCTGAATGAAGAGTGAACAGATCTGTAGTTTACTTGCCTTCAGTGGAATTTGAACGCCTGTCATCTTGTATGACATGCATCCCTTGAAAATTTAGTCCAATAGTCAAATATTGTTTCCTGCTGCAGTAGGGGTGCACTTACTGTGGGTCTGCCTCCTGCTTGGGTTGATACTTCTGAAGAAATAGCAGCAAATGTGCAACGCGCACGGGTGAAAATGAATGAGTTAGCCAAGACTCATGCCAAAGCTCTAATGCCTTCATTCGGAGATGGTAAAGATGATCAGCGATTGATCGAGTCTCTTACCCTAGAAATTACTGATCTGATTAAAAGATCCGAGAAGAAGTTATTGAGATTATCCGCAAATGAACGTTCTGAGGATTCAAATGTTAGAAAAAACGTGCAGGTATGATGCAATGGAATGCCCTCCTATGGATCACCTGACTATTCACTTGTTTGGTGTTTTGCAAATTTTTTATATTCATTTATATTTTGATTCCTGTGAGCATCAGTTGATATATACTTCAGTACGAGCCATTGGTGATAGTATCTTTTGCATTTTCTATGCTCATGCAGAGCTTTTGATATCTATTAAGCTCTCAATTAATAGGGAGAAGACGTTTTCAACATCTAACCTTAATTTCGGCACTAAGTGGATCATAGCTGCTGAGATTGTTTATTCAAATCTCTCAGGATCTCATAATAACTCGATTAATCTATTCAAAGAAAAATATTCAGTACCTTGAATCCATATTTCTCAAGACAAGCTACTTGTATCTCCTTGAAAATTAAGTTGTTCAAAGTTAATTGTAATTCGATTAATTTAGGTCCTTGCCTCTGCCTGAACTATCTGCTGTTAATTGGTATTGTCAAAACTGCGGAGTGGTTGATTCCTTGCCCTTACTCTGCTTTTTTTTTTTGGTCGAAGCCCTTACTCTGTTTCACTAGCAGCTATTTCAGTAGGCATTCATCCGAAACAGCAACCATTATGGGAATTTCCCCAAAAGCCATCTCTCTCTCTCTCTCACACACGTACACTCACACACACAGAAATTTTCCGGCTGCAAATGATGCGATCAATACTACTTGTTTGCTGCCATCCTTGCTTCATTTGATAGGTTTTGAGTCTTGCATGCCTTCCGAGCTATTAGCTACATATTGATTGTAAAAGATGCCGGTTGCAACGCTCATGTTGGCATGTTCTCATTGCAGCGGTCACTTGCCACTGACCTACAGAGTCTATCAATGGAGCTTCGCAAGAAACAGTCAACTTATCTAAATCGTCTCAGACAGCAAAAAGAGGTTGGACGGGCATTTCTGTAATTAGTGAACAGAATAACATTCTTTGTGGCTATGATTTTTTGACAAGATATTTGTGATTTAGAATTTTGAGTATAGTGTCATTAATTTATAGATTTCCTTAAGAGTTTTTTCCCTTTTGATGCAGGGTCAAGATGGAGTTGACTTGGAGATGAACATAAACGGCAGCGGATCTAGACTAGATGATGATGAGTTTGATGACTTGGTAGGATGTTGTTATCCTTTTGACTTTCTCCCTTTTTCTGTTTAACCAGCTCAATGCTTAGCGTAGATGTACAGGAGAAATTTATGCCAAGGCAGTGGGAAGCACGTGTAAACTGATGATATATATCTAGAGTTTACATGCTTGGTTGCACTTACATATGAAAGTTCCTAATGGAGTATCCATGTGTATCGGTATCTGCCTCATGACATGGGGTTAAACAGTCCCTATGTGTTTTCACAAGCTCATTCCCATTTTGGTTTAACTCATGTATGTAGGGATTTAATGAGCATCAAATGGCAAGGTTGAAAAAGAGTGAAGCATTTACAGCAGAAAGAGAAAGAGAGATCCAACAGGTAAGTGAAAATCTTATGTGTCTTCTACGTTTTCAATATTCCGACTTAGCTTCTCTGTTTTAGTCTCTGGTGTCAACCCGCTTACTCAGGTGTAAATTGTAGGTTGTGGAATCAGTTAATGAGCTTGCTCAGATAATGAAAGACCTTTCGGTTCTTGTGATAGATCAGGTAGGCTGGGCTTCACCAATATTTGCTATAATAAATCTGTGGACTGTCTTTAGTATAACTTCATGATCAAATCAAAATTTGTCAAAGCAGGGCACCATCGTCGACAGAATAGATTACAACATTCAGAATGTTGCTACTACCATAGATGAGGGACTGAAACAGCTGCAAAAGGTTCTCATTCTTCTTTCAATCCATACTGATCTCTCTCTCTCTCTCTCTCTCTCTCTCTCTCTCTCTCTCTCTCATCACATTATGCCCGGCACATTGCAGGCCGAGAGAACGCAAAAGCAAGGGGGAATGGTCATGTGTGCAACAGTGCTTGTGATTATGTGCTTCGTTATGTTGGTCCTTCTAATTCTCAAGTATACACTCTTTTGAACTGCAAAGCCATTTCCTACAAAGCTCATCTTTCATCTGTACACACACATCCCTTATGCGTGCCCCCAGACGCTTACCATACTTGCCTGGCAGAGGAAGGAAAGTGGGAGAATCAAATATGCCATACACAAAGCTTTAGAGTTCTAACCTTCTCATTCTTGTATGTATTTTTCTGTAATCTCTACTTTGATGGAGTGATGGGAAGGGCACTGGGATGTCGAGTTACATTGTTGTCGACCATCGCATATGGTCATGTATACGAGTTTCACCTCTGTCAGTTTTCCTCTTGTTTTTTTAGTTGTCGGGCCTCATTAAATTTTTTGGACTCCCTTTTGAGTTTTGGTTTCGACGGCATCTTCAGGCTTCATTATTGTCCTTGAGGGAGACCAGATATGTATTGATTCTTTGACGCAAATAAGAGAAGCGTATATCCCCTTCTTGACCAAATGCAATATAACCCCTCCTCTCTCTCTCTCTGTCTCTCTCTGTCTCTCTCTCTCTCATGTATCAAGGCATATCGCAATTTGAAATGCAGTACTTAAGAGATACAAAAGAAAGTCAGGGTGTAAATAGGTGCGACTTCATTGTCTCGTCGGATACATGGCCTAATCCTACTATTTACACTGTTAGATGTCAATGCTAACTTGAGGGCATTACACACCTCCCAAAATTCATGTTTCCTATTGCCCCTCTCTTCATCTACTCCTAAAAACCCTGCTGAAGAAAAGGGCATAAACAGAGAGAACATATCTAAGGATGGCTATCCATTCACCATCTTCAAGAAAACCACCCCCAAAAAGCTAACTAAAAAAAACCCAAGAAGGACAAGAACAAACTTCCCCTCTCCAGCCTCCACCTATTCACTTGATTTTCTATTTTGTCTGTACATATGTCCGTTTAGGCAGAGACTGACCCACAAGAGAGGGCCATCAAGGAAACGGCAGCTTGCTCTTCCTCACCCAACTTCCTCTTCCTCTGGCACCTCTGCTTCTTCACAAACGACGTCTGCAGCAACAAATCTTTGCCCAGTATCGCCAGTCTCATCTTCAACGAGTGACTCAAATCCTTCCCAGTACCAGCATTTGCGGGTTCGGTACTGCTAGTTTTGGTGGTGGTGTTGACGTGGGAATGCCGGTGGTGGTGTGTCTCTCGCTTCCTCTCTGTTGCTCTGCTCAATATCCTCTTCTTCCTGTATCTTATCCCGCATGCATTGCACAGCGACTGAACATTTTACACGAGAAAGAGATCAGGGAGAAGAAGGGAAACGGCCGCGTTAGGAACACAGCAGGCAACAGCAAGCCATGCACAAGAAATGCTCCCTCACTGAGTGTCCCAGGAGAGAAAAAGATATTGAAATGCATGCAGAAAAGCGACCCACAAATCTTTCTCTCAGAATCCAGAGAACCCAAAATCTTAAAAGGGTTGTTGACAGAGGAAAAAAAAGAAGGGCAGGGAAAGATTATAGGCATGGAAAGTGGAGGAAACAAAAGCATGTCGATGAAAGAAAATTTGAAGACATGAACAAGAAGAAGAGAAAACCAAAAGAAGGAGAAGAAATGCCAGAAAAGATCAAGGTCAGTGAGGAGAGAGAGAGAGAGAGAGAGAGAGAGACTGACTTTGGGACCAGAAGGGCCGCCTCTCCACAGAGGAGTCTTGGTGGTCTTGCAATCAGCACAAAACTTCTTGTTGGCCTCGCTCGTTTCTTCGGCCCCTGACTCCTGTAAAATGTATTTTCAACCCCCGAGAAAACAAAACAAACAACGAATCATCAGTAAAAGCACCAAAAGACAAAAGAAAACGGCAGACATTCAGCTCGTGACAGTCAAGGGACTACGTGACCATGAGACCTTTTGTCTGAGAGCCATGCTTTCCATGAAGGGGCTCTTCCTTTCTTGACAAAAGGATTTCACAAAGCCAAGAGCTACGAAAGAAGAGAGAAAGGTCAAAAGGGTGGTGGTTCTCAAGAGGGAGAGAGACCAAGAGAGAGAGAGAATGAGATCAAGAAGGAATGTTGGGTGATGAAGGGGGGAAAGGAATGGCAGAGGGAGCACAGAGCACAGAGCACAAAGCACGAAATGGTGACGGCTCAACGAGTGGGTATGGCAACGGAAATTAATTTTCCTCGGTAGAGAGAGAGAGAGAGAGAGAGAGACGGGGGCGGTTTTAGTGGAAAAACCCTAAAACCTCTGTCTTGGTTTGCGGAATGACGGAAATAGCCCCCGGCTGGCACTGAGAGAGATAGAGGGAGAGGGGTGTGCGGTGACGACACGACGACAACCGCCAAATTTTTGGGGAAGAGGGGTTCAGTCCACGTGGCGACAGATCATGGAAAATTTGCAGAAGCTTTTTGGTGGGAGGGGAGGAGGAGAGAGATTTCTGAAGTGTTTTCTCATCATCCAATTCGAACCCCAAATGGGGACGGAGGGAGGAGCACCGGGGGCTATGGTTGGCTTTTTGCTTTTTGTATATATATGCTTATGCTCCCCCTCGGATGTTTTTTGTACATATTTGCGTTAAGATCGGTCCCCGATGAAGTAAAAAGTAGGAATAAAATCTGTCGTGAGAATGTCAAAAACATGTACGATCTTTTTAATTCATGACCCCCTTCGCGTATTCTCGCAAATTCATTGCTCGCATGCTTTCGAGCAGAACCCTATGTCGAAAAGAAGACTGAATTGCCTTCCTCACAAACTCATGTTTAGCACCTCGCTCAGAGTTTGGGTGGCTTTGATTTTTAGTTGGGTTTTTTAGCGGTTCGGATGGCGCCGGAATCTAGAATCTAGGAACGGGCGTTTTCAAGAAAAGGGAAAATGGCTTATATAAATGATGCAACGGAATAATTGATGTGAAGATGCAAAACGATCTCCCAAAGTGAAACTTAGATATACGTTTTATACTTTTCAAAAATAGAAACATACAGGCGATCGTTGTGTCAAAGATAACGCATGGCGAGGCATTAATTCACATTGCAACCTGTTGCATCGCACTGACGTATTGGAAAAAAGATCCGAGGCGCCCAAGTTGCGACGATTAGAAGAGGGTGATTTCGTACGGGAACCATGCAAAGAAGATGACCATATAAAGAGGGATAAGAGAATGGAATCTTTCCAGGGACGAGCATCATTCGTTTTGATAAAAAAACACTATGCATCGATATAATGACATTGAGAACCCGCATGAAGAAATATTGCAAGGCAACCTCGAGTTGCTAATTAAGACCCGACCGAAACAAATCTTACACAAAGGAAAATGAATCAAGGAACTCATTGCTCCGACAGAACGCAAAAGGATATCGACATATATAGCACAATGACTAGATAGATGGAAGACCCTAAGCATATATATGACATTGAAACCTTTCCTGTGATGGCCACAAAAACAGGCACTCCAGTGGCGCTTTATGTATGACGACGCTTTGTCAGGGATACTTGCTGCCCCCAAGAATCTCACGAGTGACTATATCCGAAAAGAACCATTCAACGATGAGCACAATGTCCAACTTCTCTCACCCGCTTCCAGAGACTCGGAACCCAAGGCTAATTCAAGCACCCCCTTGATCTTGTCCCTGAGACTCGACTCAACCGACGACCCAGACTCGACTCGACCATGACCCAGACTCGACGCGTGACCCGACCAGAACCCAACTTTAATCCTGCCATAAAGCCCAAGAATCTGAGGTCAAGGGATAGGCAGCTATGGCACCAACAAAATTCTGACGGATATCGAAAGAGAGGCGGGTGAAGGAATCAGCTTTATGCCGAAGGAGGGCCTACCTCTAACCGAACTTATATCCACCAGATGGCATGGGAGGCAGATCGTTCCCTCCGAATTGCATATCCGGTTGAGAGGCATCACCTGGCGGCATTGTGTCGTCGTCTTCTTCCAACCAGTATGCTTCAAGAATCTTTACCGCCTTCTCATATATCTCATTGTTGTCATGGGACTGTAAGCTCTCGATTTTCTCCAAACCCTCCACATCTTCGACCGTCTGAGCATAGACATTTACATCACCAGTGTTGCCAAGGTTTTTCTCAGCTTCTCCTACCTTCAAGATATTCTCCAAACCCTCTAGACAAACTGTCACAATCCTCGGATCAGGGCAGACGAGAAGATCACATAAGGGCTTGATACATCCTTGACTTACTAGGAACCTAACAGCGCAGAAGATAAAGCGGCAAGTTGAGAAACATTATCAGTGCACCCTTTATCAACAGCGTAAAAGACTACATACTTGATTTGTTCATGAGAACCACCAGATGTGGCATTTGAGATTGCCCATGCAGCCTCCTTCTTTATATCGAATTCAGCATTTTGAAGTAGTTGTACCATTGGAGCAATGATATTAGCCTCAATGACAGCCTATAACATCCATGCACATGTTACTCAAGAGCATATCAAAGATCAAATATCCTATAACGTATATCACGATTGAAAGAACAAATGAGGAAGCATGTTACTCAACAAAGCGAGCTGACCCATATAGTAAAGTATCTGTGTGGATCTTACCTGTATCTGTTCCTTGTTACCAGCTGTAATATTCGAGATGGTCCAGCAAGCTTCCTTCTTGATGCTCTTCTTATAATTACCAGTCAACAGGTTCAGAAGGCAGGGGAGCGATTGATGATCGATGACACACTAAGTGAACCAGAAATTACAGGAGATTTAAGCAACTGCTGATATATGTGAGTAATAGAACTAAACATTTCTTATGATTCCATTACCTGGGTTTGCAAATCATCTCCAGTGACGATATTTCCAACAGTGCGAAGGGCAGGAATCAACACAGATGGAGATGGGTGACTAGTACAATGGAAATCAAAAGTTCAGTATTTCAAACATAAAAAGAGAATGAAGAATGACTGTGGATCAGAATTACTGTACGCAAAAGTTGAGACAGCTTACAGCAGTAGTTCCACAAGACGAGGACATACACCAGCTTCAATCACAGCTTGAATTTTATCATTTGTGCCATCAGAAAGGTATGATAGAGCCCAACAAGCATCCGTCAAGACCTCTTCATCAGTCGAATGGATAAGATGTGCAAGGGCTGGAAGTGCAGGCTTAACCTATTGGAATATAGAAAGCACATCACCAACAGCTTCAGAAGACAAAAAAACAATATAATGGAGGACTTTATTTTAGTTAAAAGCTGAACCAAACTACAAAGTGAAAAATGGTTTCCCTAAAAGCAGAAGCAGCTTCATGTGAAGATTAAGGTATGGCATCATATCCAAAGACAAGCCCTTCACTTATGTTAGCAATTACTGTATATACATTGTTTTTGAAGTTCAATTGTGTAACTAGATTCTAAGATCCTTCTGCGACTACATAGAAGATGACATTTCAGAAAAGAACTTTTCCTCATGACCTCTTCTGCAATTGTCAGAGTTATTATAAAACATCTACAAAAGTATGTAAAAAAGTACCATCGTCCATGAAAGAACAATCTCTACTGGCTCATCAATAAACAATTAGCAATAATCCCTAGACTTGAAAAGGGTGCACTAAAACCAACCTGCTCAAAAGGTGGCTGTGGCTTCCCTCTACAGAAGTTCGAAAGCGTCCAGGTGGCATTTCTAAGCATAGAAAGCTTCGCGTGCTCATTCAATTGTGCCAGCAACGGAATCAAAGCACCGCTTGAAAGTACAAGGTCACGGCATTTGGGAGAATCACCAGCAACGTTTCCTAGAGCCCAAACAGCCTAGGCATGGAAATGAATAGGGAAGGGATTATCAATGGCAATCACATGCAAGTTCATCATAATCTCTCGCCCCATAGCCAATTAGCAATATTGTAAAAGGCAAAGTGACTGACAAAGATATGATACGGGTACAGAGAAAACAAGAACACCATATCTAAAATCTTCTGCCATGTACACACCTGCTCACGCACATCATCACTGGGAGAACCAAGAAGTTTCACGAATATAGGAACAGCTCCATGGTCAATTACCACCTTGGTATTCTCAGATGTACCGGAAGCAATGTTGGTCAGTGCCCAAGCTGCTTCAAACTAAGGGTATTCCCAATCACACCAAAAGTAGCTTTATGGTCACAACTCATACAAACGCAGTGTCAGTATATTGAAACAAAGAATATTTCGCATAGTACCTGAAGTTGAGGGAAGTCTTCCCTCATAAGAAACTCGACAAAGCGTGGAACAACACCCGATTGAATTACCTCCTCAATGGGCGGGCTCCGCTCTGGCCATCAACATATTGCTCTTAACGTATTGTAAGAAATATAAAAACGAGAGAACCTACAGTTTCAAAAGCTTCCGATGCAGGTTTTAAAGAAAATTAAAAGACTCGGACGAAAGAAGACAAAATGTCACCTATTGAAAGTAGCTTTCTAAATTGAGTTGTTGCTTCAAGTTGCATAGGTTTATCATTGCTCCATACACCAGCAACCATGGAAGGTAGATTTTCCAACTGAAGCGAAACAGAAACGAACCAAGTATGATTAAACTGGTCTCAAGCAAAGTCGAAACAATCACGCGTGATAAAAAAAAAATAATGTCAAATCGTCTCATGTCATTGTGCTTAGAAAACAAAACGAGTACACTGTCTTCAATATGTGCCGCCAACAAATTGATATGGAAAAACACGAGACAAAATGCCAGTAAAACGAACAAACCCGCAATGACAAATGAAAGAGCTATCGGATATCCAGTTAACAAGGCCCTCTCCAACCTGTACATATGTATCGGGCACTGCTTGCTTTGGGTAATCAAAGAAGAAGATCCAGTCATTGATTGCTATGAGTTGAGAGAACATACTTGAAACTCTCGAGACATATAGCTTGGGCTATCAGTTGTATAAGCAATTTGTCCACCCATTCTATTACAAATATATGGATTGCAGGCTACCCAAAACAGCGGACATTCCACACGGCTAAAATCTCAAAGGCAACATAATCTTCAACTTGTACATACCCATTAACTCGGCATGGAAACCAAGCTCACGGAGAAGCTCAATACCAAACAAAGCTACGTCCATATAGACGATCCGTGATCCACAAAGATTTACTGACCAATTCAAACCCTAGACTAAAAGACACCACCGCCAAATGAGCTCCTGAAGAGGGATAGACTAGCTCTACTTCCAACTGAAGCTCAGACACTGATGTGTTTCAAAACAGAACAGCTTAATTTTAGCCAGAACCGATATTAACCACAGATCGATCGACAACGCCACCCGCTCGACTAATACTTCCAACAACGATCAGGGGGGGAGGGCAAAATGCCACCACATCGGAGTCGGCAAAAGGGCGCATAAAACGAACGAAGCAAGGCGCATCGTCGATCGAACGTACACGAGCCTCACCTTCTTTTCGACGGCGGACGAGTGAAGCGAGGGAGGCGCCTGCTGCGCCTGCAGCCCCTCGCGCCGCTTCTTCAGCAGGCTCTCCTCCCGGCGGCTCTTCCGGATCTCCACCAGGTTGTCCTCCCGCCGCCGCCGCCCCTCGTCCGCGTCCACCGCCACCTTGTACCGGTTCCGGCGGACCTCCGTCCTCGCGCTAGGTCGCAGCGACATGGCTCCGAGGGAGGGGAGGAGAGAGAAGGCTTGCCGGAGAGCAGCAGGATCGGCGGGGGCTCCGCCGGAGGGATCCGGAACCCTATCGGGGCCGGAGAATTGGGCACGGCGGCGAAGGAATTCTCCGATCGATTTCAGGGGAAAAAGCGACCGACTGTAACGGAGAGAGGAGGAAGGAAGGGAGGAAGGAGGGTTTGTGAGAGCGAGTGATTGCTGAGTTCGCAGGAGAGAGAGAGAGGAGGGGAGGTGGGGTCGTGCCGTGTTTGCTCGAAAACTGTCGAACGAAAGTGGGCACGAATCTTCGAGTATATTGCGAAAGTACCCCCCTGGGTTTGAATTTTGAGGTGAGGGAAGATCATTTTACATTATCGATTTTTATTATTTAGCGTTTATTACGTGCCGGCGTTTAGACCGGGGTTACATGTAGGCCCTGTCGAACGGGAGGGCGGGTCGAGTCGGGTCGGGTCGGGATTGAGTAAATCGAAAATGGACACGACTCATAATATAATTCTAGCGACCAATACACAACCTGACCTATAAAACCCAACGTAGACTCCAATTTTTAGCAATTCTTCTTCACCATGAAAGCTAGGGATTTTCTTCTAATCCAACGGTCGGGTCGGGTCGGGATTGAGTAAATCGAAAATGGACATGACCCATATTGATTGATTTTCACGCAATGCAATTTTAGTAACCCATACGTGACCCGGCCTAGAGTCCAATCCACACCTGACTCAGCCTAGGCTCCACTGAGACGTAATTTTTCTTAACCATTAAGGTTCAGCTTTTCCTGTGGGAACACATCTTTATCTTTTAAAGTTGGATGGTGGAGACGTGTTCTTTTTTTATGTCCGTTGTTTAATTTTCCTTTTCTCTTCGTCATTTCTATCTTTGGTCTTCTTTCCCACGACACCAAGGTTGACGAAATTAGAGAACGAATGTGAATGCCAACGACAAAGAACTTTCGAACCGGTCGCCACGATGCCGCCGACCATTGCTGCCAAGAGCCCTCGCCGTTGCGCCTCCTCACTCGACTCATCCGCCGCCTCTCGATCCATCTCTCTGCACGAAGGTTGCAACTCGTCGCCATGCAGGTCACAACCAACGGATCTAGGGTCCCCAGTTTCATATGACCCCAAACCTATGGTCACCCGAGGCCAATGGCCTCCATAGCCGTGGTGGTGGGCTCATCACCTTCTCTTTGTTCGATTTTAAAGCCACAGAGAGAAAGGACGGGAGTCGTGGCGGTTGCAACCTTCATTGGTTTCCTTTGACGGTGATCGGCCGCCTCACACGACCTAGGTCCGTGGTCGCGCAACGCCGACCACCCCCATGGCTGCGATGGCGGAACCGTGAATTGCAATTTGTGTACCAACCCAAGCGAGTGTATGTGGTTTGATCCTACTCATCCAAGTGAGAGCGCCAATAGGCAACTGCCCACAAATGGGCCAAAGTGGTTTCTCTATAAACCCATTATGACCCAATTTGATTAATCTTTAATTTTCTAACCCATTGTCATCTAGCGTTTAAATATTTAGACAACCCACGTACAACCTGGTTGTGAAAATAGAGTCAACGAATGGGTCAATGACTCATTTTGACATTTCTAGCCTACGGTGACCGCAATTAATCTCTCTCTACAAGATATGAAATTTCGATGACGAAAGGTTGGGAGTAATTCTCGTATGTTCGTGTTCGTGTTCGTTTCTTAAAAATTCATAGATGATAGAAGTAAAGGATTGATAGGGTAATTATCACGTGTAAATTACATTTTACTCAAACATTTCCATTTCAAATTTAATCTATTTGATGAGGCAATCTTTTGTTTAGATAGGGGCACTTTTTTGGGCATATTTTTTGGTCTATTTCAAATGAGACAAAGGCATCTCTTTTCTTAATTATAATATTAGATATTTAGATAAATTGTATATATTATCTGCAAAGCAAAACCTAAATACCTCAGGGAAACGTTTCATGAGCACATTTAGACTTAAAACATTAGGGGTAAGTTGAACGTAAGCAATTATTTTTATCAGATTTATTGCTTAACTTAGAGGTTCAAGGCATGTCGTCATTCAATAATTACGTTCCCATTATTTTAAGTTATAGTTACACGTTGATTAACGCAACGGTGAACAAGTAGTTTCCTTCACGATTTGGTGAAGAAATATCAAAGGACAAAAATTGGAATTCCCACATATTTAAGGATACATTTGATCACGATTTTTGTCCTAATGGGTAAAATATTATGTACGGCAGCTTGTTTGGTATTCCCATAATTGTTTTATCATCTTAATTTATATTGAATTTTTAAAAAAATTCACTTAATGAAATGAGTAAGGAAGGGATTACTTAATTCATTCAATATCGGAACTTATCGACGACGACTAATTGATTTGGAAAATATTTTCTCTGAAAATGATCGCTCGTGTCGCTAAAAATAATTAGTCAATGGAAAATACTTTCAATATCGACAACGATTTATGTCGGAAGAATTTCATGAACAATGAAAATATTTTCCGTTTATTCATTTTTGTAAGTGATATAACCGATCATTTTAAAAAAATATATTTTTGGAATCATTTATTTTTCGAGAAATAAATGGAGCCTAAGATTACAATTGTTTTGCCACCTTAATTTAAATTGACTTTTAAAGAATACACTTAATGTGATAAGTAAGGGAGAGACCACTTAATTAATTCAATATCAGAACTAATTGATGACTACTATAATATTGTCAAATCTATTGTCAAAACCTACCAATGTTGATCAATGCTCTACCTTTGGTAATAATTGACAATAGTCAGCTGTTAATTTTCAATTATCATCTTGCAACTTTTTATTTCTACTTTCAACACTTAGAGATTAAATTATCAAACAAGCCCTAAATTTAATTTAATAATTAAATTGTCTCTAGATAATTCTTCAAAGGCCAAATTATCTCTAGATAATTCTTTAATTGTCAAAAAGTTAGGACTCAATTGGCAAAATCGAAAGGTTTAGGACCGAATTGATAAAAGTGCAACAGATTTAGAATTTTTTGGACAATTGTCCCCTTGACCATATCTACATGCATTTTGCTTCAATACTACGTGAATATATATGTCGTTCTTTTTACTTACTTTTGCTCATCTTTGAAGCCATGTGTACATTATTTTAGCTGTTTTGAGTGTGGCGAAAATCCCTCTATAGTCAGTCGGGGATGGAAATTATTATGTGTACCCTAATTCTGAATTTCGAGTGTACACATCTCAGAGCACGGTACTCGTAAAATATTTTTCTATTAATGTGTTTAGCAAGTGTCTTGAAAATATTTGTTAACAAAACCCTTTGAAAAATCTTGTAAGGCATAAGGTATATTCAGAAAAATCATAAATGCGTAGAGATGTTTTCCCACCGTTGTGAAGGTGGACAACTTTAGCTTGAGGCATTCTGTCGACTTGTTTAAATATTATTTGTCATCGGATTATTTTAGATAGAAAAAGGTTTATAAAGAAAGAAAACTCGTTTCTTTCCCTCACATGTTTATCTCATGATGCAAGAATGTGCTAATCCGATAATATCGTGGGGCTAAATTCAATTATTTCACAAGCATCGCCATTGACAGACATGTTTTGAAACCCTTACTTACTTTCTATAGAGTTCGATTAGGGTATAGATTAAAGAGTTCAATATTTCACATCCGAGGTCTTATTGGTAATGTCATATACCTCTTTAATTCACATCGTGATGCTTGGTGTACTAATTTCCCGCTAATTTTGGTACAAAACGTGAGAAAAAAAATGCATATAAAGAGAAATTCCATGGCCTAGCACACCAAAGAGCTTTACGATATTCTCGAATGTTGCCTTTGAAACAAAGTGTCCTTTGCCTTCTTTAAGGCGACATGCAATGAAAGCCCGAACGTGACTTTACCTTGAGGACCTTCTCCACTTTTCTAACAATCTTCGGCCTTGCAGCTTCTAAATGGAAAAAAGAGGGGTTTCGATAGCTTCATTCTTTCTTTTGTACCAAACTACCCAAGAAGTATTTTCATGGTTCGAACTCACATACTTTATCTGCCATGACAATAGAGGAGGTTACTATGCTAAGCCCTGGAATTGACCTTCTCGCGAAAATAGCACTGAGTTTGTCGTGGTGAGTGAAGTTGCTATGGCTCGGACATGATATTGTGTAATCGGTATAGAACTCTGATGGTAATACACGCGATAGTTTTCCATGGATAAAAAAACCAAGTAAGTCATAAACTTATTGCATTTGTGCTAATTTAGTCCTAAACCTTTCGATTTGGTCAATTTAGTTCTAAATCTTTTAATAAAGAACTAATGTAGTATATCCGATCAATTTTGGCAAGAAATTGATGACGTGGACGTCAGCCATCTTATGTGGTACGATCGGCGTTGATGTGGAAATTTTTGAAAATTTGTATTAATTTTCTTTTCTTTTCTTGTTAAGGGCCAGTAGGGCACCTCTAGCCACCGGTCGAGGCTTGGTGACCCCTTGTTGGTCACTGGCAAGGGTCACGCCCTCTCTAATCACTAGCTGAGGGTCGTGATGCTTACCTAGTGGCCAGCGAGGGCTTGTTGCCCTCGCACGCGGTAGGCAAATTGCCGCGAGCCCTCCCCAGGCCTCCCTCATATATGAGCGAGGGACGTGAGCCCTCGCCCAATGGGGGTTATCGGGCCTCGGCCGGTGCTGGCCCGTAACAATAAAAAAAAAGGAAAGAAAAAAAGAAAAGAAAAAAATTAAAAAAATTTCCACGTCAACGTCATCCGTGTTACATAGGAAGGCTAGAGTCCACGTCATTAATTTCTGGTCAAAATTAACCGAGTGGACTACATTGGCAAATTGTTAAAATGTTTTTTTTTACTAAATTAAAAGGTTTAGAACTAAATTGGCATAAGCGCAATAGATTTAAGACTTTTTTTTGGTAATCTTCCCATTTTCCACGCTAGTTCCCTCGCACCCTTATTCATAATAATTTGGAAAAAAACAAAAGAAAATAAATTGATGAGCTCGATCGGACTTCCCAAAGCTTGAGGCTTGGGCTAGGTCTAGAAATTTATGTCCTAAACTCCTAACTCAACTTATTCGAATTAAACTAAAATTCCAACTTCTCAAAGGCCCAAGTACCATACGATAGAAACTTCATGACCGGGCCGGACCAAAATCATAATGGACTAACATCATATATCCTATAACGATGGAAGGCCCATTCAAGCACGTTGGATCGAAAAACTATAAGCCGCTCTACGAAGCACGACGTTCCTGTCTGTCCACGTGCCAGGTGATTGGTTCGGACGGAGCAGAACTTCAAATTTCGAAATCGGCAAGTACCTGAGATTCTCTCACTCGGTCGGCCTGTTACACAAACATTTTTAGCTTTGCTTGCAATCTCACAAATCTAGCATACAGTCCTCCAACATAGGGATCTCCCATCACCATTATTCTCTCTGTAGCTGGGCCTGAGTAAGCTGCGAATTGGACACACACACACATCTAAGCTCGGACGGAAAATCGACCATAAAACGAAGAACGCGAGGTTAGAGTTTAATCGATGAAAGGAACAGAGTTAGTCACGGGTCATCAGGTGACTTATCTACCAGTACAACGGCTAAATTCACGCGCTATCGAATTGGTTGACGAGTCACATGGCCGGTGCTTGCTAGAAAATGTAAAAGCTCCTGATTTTTAAGCCTATAAAAATACGACTCCGCAATGACAGAAAGCACCAATCAACTTGGCCAAAAGCCATGCAACTTGCGATTATAGAAGCATATAATCCTCTCGCATTATTCGGGGCCATTCGTTGCACGAGGCTCATCCGACCTTCTTTAGTGCCTCCTCCCGTTTAAAATAATTTTACGGAGAAGAAAATGAGGCAGAAAAAGAAGAAAGAAGTAATGAAGGGGAAAAAGGAAGCGGTCACACCAGAACTAGAAGCCTCTCTAGTGACGATCTCGTGGATCACCTCAGTTCGATATTTCTTCCCTCACCAAGAAAAGAAACGCCTGCCATGTTCGCATACGGGTACTCCCTTGCTTTGGCTTTGGAGCAATCCCGAAAAGCTCTCCGGAGGGATTAATGAATCTTCCCAGTTCCCTTTCTCGCCCTTAGCAACTAGATATGTCAAACGGGTGAGTCCAGCCAAATTTTAATCGGGGTTCGACTCAAATTAATCAATTTTCATGCAATACAAATCCAGTGATCCATATCCAACCCGATCCAATATATATCCAATCCGACGCATATTACTAAATCACTTGTATATTTAACCAAATCTAAGAAAAATGATATCAAAACCAAGGTAAAAGCACATAATAAGTAGATTGATTGAGTTTGAGTGAAATGTGAATTCATTTAACACTCATATTATATTTGACTTTATAATTCTAAAATCCATTTATAACTCCTTTACTGATTTATAAAACAGCTCAACCCATCAATATAAATTAAAAAATAATTATGACCCATTTTGACAAGTGAAACTCATCAAGATTTCACTTTCAACGCCAAAATGCCTTAAACTACATCCACGGTACCTCTATTTCCATTTTCTACCTTCTCAAACAACAAAAACAATTTCCTCTCCTCCTCTGTCCTTCGCCTTCAATTTTTGCACTCCCCATCATTTTCTCCTCCAATTTTTAATTTTTCCAACGGTTTGCGATTTTTTTTCCCGAAAGTCTCACTCAAAAACTACTTTTGGGGGGGGGGGGGGGGTCTCACGGGTGTCGAGATATCGATCTAGCCGCCCATAGATTCCGTTTCGACCGAAAAAGCAAAAAATAAAACAGGAAAAAGCAGCCGACGGCGTAGGACCCGCTCGACGATCCTTTTCTTCGTAGATCCGTACCGTCCATGGCATGGCCCTCGAAAAAGAGAAGGCAGAAAATATCGGAAAGGCGTAGAAGAGCACAGGCGTCTGACCGTCGAATGTCAAATCAAAACTGGCCAAATGATTCTACACCGGCCACCTTCCTTTCGTCAATTCGTAGACAGAAAAGAGGCGCGCGGTGCCAAGTGCCCGCAGCTTTCCGTCAACAAACGACAGCACAAGATATCCCCAACAGAAGGCAGAGGGAGAAAAGCACAAATCGCCACACAAAAGACAAGATTCACTACACAAAACCCATAAAATTTATTACTAATTTCTTCAACAATCGGCCGCACAAAAGCCCCACCCCGAATTGGAAACACTTGAATATCTCCCCACCACCAACACCAAAAATCAGATCTTTAATCAGGGATTAAGGCGTTAATCAATGCTTAATGCTGCTAACAGTTAGAGGTGGGTGTTGGCGGGGGGTTAAAAGCTATGATGAGTGGTGCGGCGTGTGCCCTGGGGGCGGGTGGGGCTAACCTAACAGCGAGAGGAACCCCGCCTCGCCGAGCTTGCCTTGGATGCATTCACGCGTGGCTTCTTGGAGGCCGTCGGATTGGGCGCGAAGTCGAATGTCGGATTGGGCGGGAAGTCGAACCCGGTGCCGTCCCCACCGCTGCCCACCATCTCCTGGAACATCCTCTGGAGGTCCTCCAAGCTATCTCCCTGCACCCAAAAATATCCACCCAGACACGTAACTCGGAACAGTGATCACAGACTTTTCGACCGTCCCGGGAATGCCAAAAAAAACTGTGCGGGTGCATTGAATCATTATGCAGCACAAATCACGCGTGGAGCGACGATTACCACACTTCGATGCAAAGAAAGGGCACGAGCGGAGCGATCGCACCTACCTCGTCCTTGATGTTGTTCATCATCGAGATCATCTCTTGCATAAAGTCGCAGAAATCCTGGTTCATGTCAGAAAGAGAATTCAGGCCACCAGAAGGGATCATAATGACATCCCAGAAATGAAAAACCCATCATTGTTTGGCGTAAAATAGAAGAATTTTTTTTTTCAATTGATATTACATGGGGGAAGAACCAATTAGACAACGAAATTCATTATTTGTTTGGTGGGTTGTCCTTACCAAGCACTATCTACCTAGCAAGCATTGAACTTCAGTACCTATGTTGACCCCCACATACGACGTCGTCCAGGACAGCTACCAATGTATCTAGCAAAGACATTGTTTTTTCGTATCGCTCTACCGTGAATGATTGGAAAAATGGTAGCTAGACCGACCTCGTCCTCTTCTTCAAGCGGATCGTAGAGCCCAGCATCGTACATTGACCTCTTGCTCTGGTCCGACAGTACTGGCACCCGCAAAACAGCACAAAAACTCTCTTTACTATCATGTAAATGTAATGTGATCGCGGATCACATTTGAAACATCATCCCTATGCAAGCAAGAATCGAGCGGGGCGGTTTTTTACCAGAATAAGCCTCCTGAATCTGCTGGAACCGCCGTTTTGCCTCTCCGGCCACCTGCGGGTTCCGCGCCCATTTGTCCGGGTGCCATTTCTTCACACGAAACAAATTAAGCAGGAATTAAGCGCAGATTCGACCGAACAAGTACTTCGAGCAATTCATGCACCTCATAAATACCGTCTTTCCAGCAAAGATCGAGACGGAATTTCATCAAACAAACTAGTCCCCGTGCAAAACGAATGGACATATCGCCTCAGCAACATCTGACAGTCTCGGCTTAAGTCTAAACCGAACCAAATCGAGCCCACAATTCCCTAGACGAAGAAGCTCATCTCACAATCGACGCCTTTTCCAGACAAAAAATTGAGCAGAAACGTGACCGAACCAAGGCAGTCCCCGCACTAAGCGTGGAAACACATCTACTCGAACAACACCCGACAATCTCAGCTAAGCCAACCCCGCATCCGATTCCAAAAGTAGCAACTCCGCGAAACCCTCCAATTCATCCACAGCTCCGAACGCCAGAGGCCAAAAAGAAAAAAAAAACAAGAAGAGGTCGGTCCGAAGATCAAAGGCGAGAGGCGGAATCGGGGAGAAGCAACTAACCATGGCGAGCTTGCGGTAAGCCGATCGGATGTCGGAGAAGGAGGCGTCCCTGCGAATCCCGAGGACGGCGTAGTAGCAAGACCCTCCGGCGCCGGATCCCCCTCCCCCGTCCATGGCGGCCCCCCTCACCGCCTCGGCAGCGATCGGAAAAACGTCCGGAACGAACAAGGACCGAAGATCAACTCGAAACCTCCAAGCGCTCGCCGGCCTCTCTTGTTCTTCTCCTCCTCCCCTCTCCTTCTCGTTGGTTCACAGCACCGCTCGCCTCGGCCGCCGACGGTGGGAGAGAGAGAGAGAGAGAGGAAGAGAGGCGGGCGAAGCTTTATGCGCGCATGGGAAGCTCCGAAGGAGGAGAGAGAAAGGGAAGGGGGGTTTGGCGTAGAGAGAGAAAATATCTTCTGCGGCGACTCCTTCGAGTTGGAGGAGAAGAAAGTTCGAGATTGGCGGAAGATATTTTGCTGGGGGGTCGGTTTACGGAATCGGCGCTGGAGTTGGGGGATATTTACGGGGGTTTGCCATCGGCGCACGTGTTTGGTCGGGGCCAGGCCGCCCGGCCGGCGCGTGGCGCACGTTGCGGCTTGGATCCCGGTTTGCGTGTCCAAATTAGTTATTTCAGGTTTTTGGACACGCGAACACAAGATAGAGAGGGAAACGGAATGGTAATTTCTAGTTAAATGGCGTAGGGTCATCGATATCAAGGTGAATCGATTCTAGGGTCGAAACTTGTGATTAACTCAAAAGGTCCCGGTTCAGATTTTCTTGGAATTAAGAATTGAGCCGGTTACATATGGAACCGGCTTGGAATCGAACATGCCGATGGGCGATTGCAAGTCGTTTTCTAACTTTATTTAAGAACGGGATTTAATTTGTGAAATTATATTATAGTTATTATGAATTTTTTTTTTATAACTAGTGTCTAATGGTCTGTGGTTACTCGAGTGAGAGTGCACTTTAATCTCGTACAATAAGCTCGTGGGATTAACTTTGCAAGGTTGCAACTTTCTAATGAGGTGTCAAATCGGATCCATATCGACTTAACCTTAGAATTGTATGATGGCTGTTTCCAAGGTTTATACTTGGTCTAATTCTACTGTTGAACCGAGATCAATGCTCATTCCTAAATCGATGCTTATAAATGATAATGTTAATCAAAATTAAATATGATTTGATTTATTTATATTAAATAAAATCCTTTCTCTCTCTCTTACCTTTTTCAATTGATATGAAAGTAGTTTTCTTTTACAATTGATTGGCCAGTGAACTCCACTTTGCCTATTCTGTCTCGGGTGGACAGCTTGCTTATTAAGCAGTTCAAGCCAAGAAGGAAACGCAAACTTAGGCGCATCAGGCTGAAACCAGATGAGCCTGTGCCATTTAACTTTCTTCGTCCTGTTTCGAGTCGAAGTCCGATCATCAGCTCGAGTAAACGAGCCAGACGTGGAACCAGTGGACAAGACCCTATCAGGTGAACGACTGGGACAGATATGATCACGAACTGCAGCTTGAATCTTGACCAAACATTCAGACCTTGTCAGAGGCCATAGCCATTCGTACCCTCAGTAACCACAACAAATTTAGCATATGAGTTCAAGGCGAAGTCATTTACTACTCTTCCAGGATGCTATATCCTCCAGAATTCCATTAGCATGTCAGTTATGGAACCAAAGTGATGCGCTTCTATCATCCCCGATAAGATACTTGATACGGGGCTTTAAAACAAATGTTGCTTTGAGTAACTTGTTCCAAGCATAACTACTCTGGTCAGTTGGATTCACTTCCCAAATAGACTGTCCTTTAAGCAAAAAACAGTCGAGCAAGGCCACCCAAATGGGTCCAGCCTGCAGCAATATCTCCAAAAGTTTTGCAAGATACAAGCAAGATTCCAAGGTCCTGGTTTCCTCTTATCCTAAACTACTCTCAAAGTTCGGAAGACACAACAACTTCTGAACCTCAAGCATTTTCAGATTTTCCCTTCCAAGGGGAGACAATACAAATGCTTCTAATCATTTTGACAATGTCGTTTGGCAACAAAAAAATTTCGCCCCAAAATTCACCAAGCTGTAGATTACTTCCTTTACGGGTCGCAATCTTCCAGCTGAAGAGAGATGCCTAACTGTCCAAGGACTCATTCGAAGAGTAATCTTTTATTCAAAGGCTTGCACTCTCCATTACTTAACCTTGCTGAAATCACAGGAAGGCCAAGGTATCTAACTGGCAATTGGCCCCTTCAAAAGCTACCAAGAGCTATGATCTCATCCACCTGCTGCCGCTCAATGCCAGCTAGATATAACCGAGTCTTTTGGGGGGTTAAGAATAAGACCTGGCATGTCCTTAAGTCTCTGAAACAAGGCCAAAATTTCATTTTAAGAATCCATATCCCCCTTTAGAAAATATCATCAAAATCGTCAGCAAAATTGGAGTGAGCAAGTTTCGCCTTAGAGCACTAAGAATGGTATTTTGATCTGCCTTGACTTGCAGCATTATTGAACTGTTTTTGGCAAAACCTCCATCACCAGAACAAATAGATGCGACAAAGGATCACCCTGCCTAAGTCCTTTCTCACCCTTGAAGAAGAAGCCCTCAAGACCACCCTCCAATGCCATAAGATCCAGAGGAACGCTCTGTAGCTTGACCCAAACAACAGTTTTCACATCAGAGGCCTCCAAACTTTGCACTTCAGGCTTCCATTTTCTCAGCACAAGAGGATAGTGTGCAATGTTCTGGAAGAGGGAAAGTTCATAAGGAACATTCCATTCTCAATCTCCTCGTCCCCACAACATATTCACCGTAGAGGAAATAAATCCAATACTCAATTTCTTGCCAAGAACTTGCCCTTCAAGAGAAGAATTCCACTTTTCAGCGCTGTTATCTACAACAAATTTAGGAACTAAAACATGCTTAACGCCATAAGCAATTTCAGGTACGTGGTACGTCGTGTGTAATGTCCTAGATTGCTGATACGCTTTTTTCTTTAAAGTTCGTATTCAGATCATATCATCATACTGTCCGCCCAAGCATACTATTTTGGTTCTCTTCCTATTTCTTCTGTTAGAACTCACTCTCACAACCAAATAAGCGCTTCTTTTTCTGAGATCACGAAAAAAAGAAGAAGCGCTTTTCATTGATCAAATAGGGAACTTTGCAAGTCTTGCATGAGTTTCAATGATAAAGATGAATTGTTTCCATTTCGATTGTGGGCAGATGAAAGCAAAACTGTTGAATTTAGGAAAAGAAAATTCATCTCTTTTCTCACTCAGACGATATTTTCTGGAAAATAAAGTCTCAAAGCGGTCTTAGCTACGAGTCTACAGGAACTTGGTGGAATGTCACCTGGAAAATAAGATCCCACATTGGCGATAGAAGAACCTTGACCATATACTGTCAAGATTGTGGGCTTTGTGACTCTAATGGTGACAATACAATATTACAGATCAATAACAGCAAAGCCGACGGGAGAAACTTCGGATCTCGCAAACTAAGTAAAATTGGGTAAAGCAAAGAAAAGTCTGCTAAGTATATCAGAGAAGTAAACTGATAAATCAAGGGATGATGGGTTGGTTGGGACAAACAGAATGCCGAACAATTCTTGAAGAAGGAAACAAAAGGCTTACAATGCTTGAAGAAAAACCCTTGTTTTGATGTACTTCCTAAGATCAGCTTGCATGATCTATACAAAGAAGACACGTTCTATTGGCAGCCCCATCTTGATGGTGCTCAACTTTAATAAAAAAATGAAAGGGTAATCAAGAAAACACAACAGAGAAAAATTGCAGTAATTAGACATTTTTCTAAGTTGATGCATCTAGGGCAGCTTACCCTTAGATGCTTTGGAGAAATTTGGTGCTTCCCGAACAAGACATTCTCATCCACCCAAGACAATCACCGCGCATCAAGTATCATGACTTTCCTCCTTTATTTGTTGATACTTCGCATGTGATGATTGGCTTGGGTGGATGAGAGCTTCGTGCTCCTGGAGCACCCAAAATTCTCTTGGGCAATGGGACTTTCCATGTATACAACTTAATAATGTGCACAATTGAACATTGCTGTTCTCTTTGCAGCCACGATGCGCCGAACCGATCCCCACTTCACCACGGCACGGATCTTGCACCACGCCGCTCTGGGTTTTGAAATCCTAGAATTCCAAACTCCGAAACCTGTGCCAGATGGACAGATCCCGAAATCTGCCCCACTGCTCGATCCGATGACAAAAGTATGCTCCGGTGTCCACATCCAATTGCCAGGGATCGAAGATGGCACTTTAAATAGCTCCTCAGGAGATGAATGGTTCCGCGCAAATGGTCCATGTGAGTAACCAGGATGATGACTACTTTCGCTGGCACTAAGATCGGACAAAAAGTCCTCCCTTGCTAAGCTGTCTACTACAGTCTGATTAATAATTTTCGCCGTAATATGATTCTGTGGCTCCAGACAATCTAATTGTCTGTTCTCTGTGACATTGTAGCAGTGCGATGTTGAAGCCAATGAGTAATTAAATTCTGCAGTCACTTCTGGTCTATCTGAATAAAGGTGCGGTTCGTTTTCAGCTACCATAGAGATGCAAAATGATGGATGTGCCGATAAAGAAATAGGAACAGTAGACTATGGAAGATTAAGAAGGCCAAGACGAAAAAGATAGTTGTAATATAACATCACAATACCTTGGTTTACCACTGTGTAATCTAGATGATGAAGAAGCGGGCTCAGTCCAATTAACGACTCTGTAGGCAAGTTGGTGAGGGCACTTGGAGGAGTGATACTGGGTAAGGCATTGAGCGGCACCCATTGATTCTTGTTATAGTAAGCTTGCCTTCTTAAGTTCTGCACCAAAATCTGTTGACCGAGCAGCAGATTCAATTAAAGTCAAAATCAAACGAATACTTAAGAAATTTTAAGCGAAGTGGTTGTGGTATGCATTCTGCCGTGTAAATGAAGAAGAACGATATGTACAGGCCCTTCTATAGCTCCAGTTAGATTGACACTCTGCTACTTGATATAAAAGTTTCAGGTTATGATCTATGTACCTTCTGGGAGTGGGTCAATTTGTCCAGCGACTGGTAAGTTTGGCCGTCCGCTGTTGCTTGAGCAACTTTCATTACCGAATTGAACACTATACTGGCCTGGTTCGAAGCTTGGTAGTAAGCATACATCTTGCTATCGTCGACAACACAGGTCCTGGCATGTTTGACCATTGTCTCCCATATCCGGTCAGTGACCCGATTGCCAATTATCTGAATTAACATTGCACAACACGAGAAGTAGCATGATTTGATAGTTAAAATGCTTAGAATAACGTGTACAGAAAAAGGGAAATTAGCACGGATTGACGAGAAATGGTCACTACGTTTTTCAGAGAGGACGCATCGGCTTCGTACAACTGGAGGAAATCTTGAACAGTGTTGATTCCTCTCGAAGTCATGCGCTTCTGTAGAGTGCCGTCTTTGGCTACTTTCTCTAAACGCCACACTTCGTCGCTCAGAGATGGAGGGTGGTGCTTCTTGTTCACTGCACATAACAGAGAAAACTTGTCAATCTTTAAGTCTCTTTTAGGTCCCCAAATAGATTCAAGAATTAGCGGTTACAAATCAAAATGTTATCGTAAAATGAAAGGCAACGAAACCAAGGCATTGCAAACTTACACACTCCTCGATGATCTTTAACGACGAAAGTTTCACTTCTTGCTTCCCTTATTCTTATTTCTGCAGTAACCTTTTGAACAGCTCGAGCTCCTAATCTGAATTTCCTACATCTCATCCAGCTCGAGTTGTCAGTGATGATCAAATTACGGAGGCAACAAATTCCTCCTTGCAACATCGCAGTGAGCTCCCCGGTTATCAATGGCCTTTTCCCTTCCCTTTCACTAGTGATATTGCCATTGAATTCCTTCTCGGTCCAATCCTCTTCCTCGTCTGACCCGAAATCTCCATTGAGGACGACGATTTCGATCTTTATCGAAGATAGGGGGTCACTTGTAACCCTCTCATTTGTCCTACCATCAACTAGTTCGATCCTAAGAGGAGCACCATCCTCGGCTTCTATCTGACTGTTAGTGAAGATGGTTCCCGGTAATTTGGTTAAAAATTGCAGTCGCAGACTGCTTTCTTCAGAAGTCCCAACAGGATTAGATGATGCTCTACGATATAGACTAGAAATACATAAATACTCGTGTGCGAAAGGGATGTTGAAGTGTCGATATGATATCGCAAGACAAGTTATCTTGAACTTGAAACCAGATTACTGTGCCTAGTATGAAAAAAACTAATACGAAACAAGATTCATATGGCTTCCTCCGATTCGCAATCAACCTTGGAGGTTGATGCAGAAGTACAAGGAACACTGACCTTAAGGACGGATCATGAAAGCACGGGATTGCACGTTCCACTTCCTCCCTAACCTGCTTGATGCAGAATGTAACTCAGATTCGAAGTGAAATTTTCTAATAATACGAATAGTTTCGTCCTGTTTAGCATCACGATCACAGACAGGTGATTTCGTTAGACTACATGCAGAGCAGATCTAATTTTCCTAGGATGCCATGTTTTTAAATTCAAGGAACTTCTGGATAGCATACCTATCATAATAAATGAGGAAGAACTCGTTTGACCGTTAGATAAAAAGATTCATTCCCTTCATGAAAAAAAGAGGTAACGGGAAAAAAAAAATTCTATATTTGGAATTTAGTTATGAGAAGAGGATTCACAGATCTTTAATCCATGGAGATGCACCCAATAAACAAATCACTTCAGAAACAAATATCTGAAACATTCTTAATATAGAATAGAAGAGCAGGTCAGGTCTTCATGAAGAAACAAGACATGGACAAAAGCCTCCACATCTTTGGGATGAAAAGTATTTGCCCGAGCCATATATTTTGGTGATTATAATGGAAGTGACCGAGATTAAAATGCCCACTTTGCTGACCAAACATCTGAGTCACCACTAGAAAACAGCCTTCTCAATAGAAATCATAACTACATCCACGGCATGCTGACTGAACATCACTAAGCCAGACGAAATGAATCGTAATATCCTATAGAAAAAAACGAAGAGTCACATGCTAAGCGTAACAGTAATAATCATCAATCAATTTGTGAAGAACCAGACTCGAGTTCTTCTCAAGCAACACAACCAGTGACCGATACGCGTAGCATACCACTTTCCGAAAGATAGGCTCCAGAAAAGATGCAAATTCATCTGGCGACAGCCCTCCGCTCATATTCCTGAAATTACTGCAAAATAATCAAGAATAGTAGTAATTCACAGTCACAGACACTAAAATTGGAATTCAATGGTCCCTAGTAAAGTAACTCTACTTAATATTAGGCCTTCTTGTTGATCCTCCAGAACCACCCTCCTTATCCTCCTCCTGTAGTTGCCTCTTCAACATCACCAGAGAATCAAAAGCACCTAAGATTCATGTCAAAAAATTTGTAGGACTTTCTGCTAAACCAGCAGAAATATATAGGGCTCAAGTTTGGCCCACCACAGAAACGGAAGGTACAATGAAACTTCAAGTTTGAAACCATTAACAAACGACATGACATTCGTTAAAAAAAAATTAGTGCTTTTTGGTTTCCAAAAAGCAAAAGAAACGACCAAAAACAGGTCAAATCTTCAAGATTGCGTGTGCCAATACTACATTTTGGACACTTCCAAGAGCCAAGAACTCGGCCTTTGGACTGATCGACTGAATTCAGGACGGACACCCAAGAATTGGACTACAATTACCCCATAAAAACCAAAGATCAACCGACCAACCAACCGTGCCAAATGATTGATAGCTACATTAATGGCACAATCTAGGAGATTCCCACATAAAAAATGTCCTTTTTGAATGTCTTCTCGATGTGGGGCTTGAGAGAGAGAGAGAGTGGAAAGTTACAGCCACAAGGTGGCATCGACGCGTAACAGAGTAGACAATGAACGAGAGAGAGGATCGAGAAAGCTTTCGGAAGTTACAGGCAAAGTTTCAGAGCAACCGCCTTCCATAGAACGATCAAGATTTCGAACTTTGACCGTTGCCCATTTCCGTCAGCTGAACTTCTCTTTAAGAAGTCGTTGGGTTCAACGTTAAAATATTAGGTTGTCTTGTGGGATGAGCGTATGTGGGCATTACGTGTATATTTTCCTCGCTTTGTCGGAACAGGGTTTCCACCGAGCAAAGTTTGTCGCTGTCCGTGCCTGAATGTATGGTCATGCATGAATCGGGATTTCACTTTCCATGCTTAGATTATGATCCACCATGAAAAATAGTGAGGCCATGATTACCCATAAGGAAAGAAGAAGAGACAGAATGTTCATGCACGCTAAAGTCAAGTGTTTCGACATCACGTTTGGTAGTAAGGACAAGAATTGAAATGGGACAGGACATTAACGTGGACATATCTAATCTTATAAAGTATTTAGTACGCTTTTGGATATGACTGAGAAACAAAATAATCAATTAGATTGAAAAACTGAAATCGGAGTTGAAACCCATTCGATCCCATTTATTGTATCATCCAAATTCCGATGTGGATTAGTACACGGGGTCGTATGTGTTTGGGGGAAATCACGGTTGAAAGGCATCGGCGCAACGAAGAAAAAAGGGAAGAAGAGTATGAGGAATGACCCTGATGCCTCTTGCTCTAACTCGATTTTAACTTGACTTTGGAAAATGTCTTCGTCAATGGACAGCTATAAAAAAAAAAAACCCATTACCACGTACAATATTGGGATGAAACGCGGTTAAAATTACTAAGAAGAAGCCCCAACCCCACTGGGCGAATGTTAATTCAATTATAAACTTTTTAATTTGGTTAATTTAATTCTACACCTTTTGATGATTGCTAACATGGATGCTAGCTGTCCTATGTGGCATGGCCAGCGTCAATGTAGACAATTTTTGCATTTTTTTAATATATATATTTTATTTTTTTCCTTTTCTAAAAAAGTTAGAAAATTTTCAAAAGGATTATAAAAATCGTCCACATTAATATGACTGACATTCATGTTAGTGATTATCAGCCATAATTGGCTGGAAGGACTAAAGTGGCAAATCGTCAAAATGTTTAGGATTAAATTAGCCAAATTGAAAAGTTTAGGCTTGAATTGGCATGCGTATAATAAGTTTATGAGTTTTTTCGTTAATTATCCCCAACATGTACAATGACGAAGATCTATATGTAATGGATAAAGATTTTCCAATTTTGATGTGTACACATGCTAATGTTTCGCCCTCGCGACGTCGTGTTGAAAATTGCCACCGGTACACATCTCATGATAACTAAACATAATCAGCGAAAAACCCGATTTTCTTAGTTCCATACCCGGATCAAAGTCATGCTCTCGTGTGATATCTATGATGTGCAGTCGCATACACATACACTAGTTTCCGAACAGAACATACTTACACTGTTTGGTCACGGTACAATCCGAGTAATAATATATCACAAGTTCGGCGCTATTTCCCCTTTTGAATCATAAGGCAAGATGATTTTCCGGGAAAACTCGAGTGCGCGGAAGAACATTCTAGGAAAATCTTATTATCATATGTTTCCTCAGTCTGCAAAAGGATTTCAGCCCCTTTGAATTTCATGCTCTTGGTGGACCTAATCTGCTTCAATTTGGAGATGAGAAGTGTGAAATTTCCAATCGAATGGATACTCAGTTTCTGTGATACATCCTCTAAAGTAGGTTGACCTAGAGTTAGATTCATCTCGACCTTTTGTTTTCTTGAAAAAAAACGGTGTCATTTTTTTTTTTGTCTTAAGAGGTACTTTCATTCATTCATAAAAAAAGAGGTCTACATGATGAAAATGAACAAGTCTCCGAAAACAAATTATCTCGAAGGAGCTGGGGGGTGTCATTTTTTTTTGTCTTAAGAGGTACTTTCATTCATTCATAAAAAGAGGTCTACATGATGAAAATGAACAAGTCTCCGAAAACAAATTATCTCGAAGGAGCTGGGGGGGTTGTTGAAGACACCCAATTTGGACGAAGAGTTCTTGTACGATGGGCTTTAGCTACCCAGCCTGCTGCTTGGTTGGCCTCCTTAGGACAATGGCTTAATTTCGCTGAAGCTTGTTGAGCTAAAAGATCATTGCATTCAATTAAGATATTCCGCAAGGCCCAAGGGGCTCTTCTCGGCCCAACACCATCTCCACTAAGGATGAACTGTCGCTCTCACACTCCCACTGCACTTTCTGTACTTGTCCTTCACCCACGTGCGTTTCTGTTTGCTGTTTCGAAACAAAAGTCCTTGCACTAAAGCTAGGGCTTCAGCTTGCAGAGGAGTTGAAGCTCGGACATCCTTCAGCGAAGCCATCGACGACCATCCCCTTTGAGTTGCGCAAGATTCCTGCAATTGAACTCGGTTTGTCATTGTCCACCCACGAGCAGTCCACGTTTAACTTCATGGAGCTTCCAATCGGAGGTATCCAGTAGACAGGTACTCTTGATTTCTTTGGGTGTTTTTTTATCTTCTTCGGGTTCCGCGGCTAAAACTTCTTACTTGTGCACTGAGCTGCGTCGATTAAGGAGAGGGGTTTTGTGGGCCGACCTGCGAAGATGCTGTCATTACGGTTTTTCCATACCAGCCATAGCACTGTCGCTAACAATTCTTCTTTGGGTGAGTCCCTCTTTGCTTTGAAAAATCCAGAAGCCATTTGTCTATTCTAGTGATGTTGAGGGTGCTTACATTGAGGCTGATTCTCGAATCTGACCAAATATTTTCCATCCATTTGCATAGTAGAAAGAGATGTTCGGCTGTCTTTGGATGACTGCACAAAGGGGGCACAACAGGTCGAGGTAATACTTTTCTCTTGAAGAGATTTTCTCTCGTTGGTAGGGCGTCTTGACATAAACTCCATAGAAAAATTTTCAGTTTGGGGGGATCGACAGATTCCATATTTTTGTCCATAATCTTCGGGAGGCTGAAATGATGTTGTTGCTCTGTTTGTCTGATTTTGTGATCATGGAACACACTTTGTTGTAGCCACTCTATACTGTGTAGGCACCTGTTTTGTTCCCTGTCTAGAATAATTTATTTTCCTTTAGGCTGTGACCAATGGAGATAGATAGGATTTCATTAGCAATACTATCATCAAAGAGATTTTTGATTTTGGATTCATTCCATCCCTTCGTTTCTTCACGATTATTCGCCACCATTCTTGGATCATCCTTGTTCATTGGACCCCAATCGTACCGATAGTGAGCCACTTGTCCTCACGAATTTTAATAGACTCACCATCGCCACCATCCATTTCACCTCCAATTCTATAGCTTCTCTTCCCATTATAATGCTTTGCCAACCCCAGGACGGGTGATTCCCTTTCGGCCTTCCAAAAATCGCCATCAGGAAAATAGATACCTTTTAAGATTTTGCTCCATAATGCTGAGGGGGTTTGAGATAGTCTCCACGCCTGCTTGCCTAACATAGCTTTGTTGAAAATTTGTAAATCTTTAAAGCGAGACCCCTTTATCTTTTCCTGGATTTCACACTTCCCATTTCTTAGGTTCTGCGTCCCCTTGTTGAGGCATTTTGTTTCCACCGAACGATGCAATTCTTTTTCAATGGCATTGCGGATAGAGTCGGGAGTTTTAAAGATTGACATAGTATATTGAGGTAGAGCTTGCACTACGCTTTTTATCAAGATTTCTTTACCTGCTTTTGACAGAGTCTTTTCTTTCCATCCCTCTAACTTCATATTTGTCGCGACATAAATTTCTCAGGCTAATGGATTATTAAGTCTCGGCTTAACTCGGGCCCTCCCAAGCCCTACCAATTCGCAACTTAGGATTTAAGTTTTAACATACAAAAGTTTTCATGCTTGGAGTCGCCACTAATCTATTTGCGGTAGGTCGATTACAAACCTAAATAAAACATAGGGAGATATGTTTTATTCCTACGAACCGAGATTCTAAGCTCGGGGACTTGGTTATGCTAGATCTAATCTAACGCCCTTTCGGTACCTTTTCTTTTCAAAAAATATTTATGCAGCGATCAATCCATTTTATTACCTAATCACTAACATGTGAGGTGTTCATGCGGGTGCAAACCACCAATTTAACACCCAAGAAAGCAATAAATAGATTGCAAGAATAGGAAAATGACGTACCTTAATGCAATGCAAGCATCTGCATTGTTAGTAAAAATTACACAGACAATCCTAATATGATTTCTAATTAACAAAACAAGGCGCTCGAGGTGTTCTTCAGGGTTTGCGCTTTATTAAAATCCAAACTAACCTATATGCAATGACGTGCAAAAAAAATGATATGCGATTAATGCAACCTAGCATGCGAACTATATGTCATGCGTCGACGTGATCTAATTCTAGTGACGGACAAATGATTTATTTTTGGTATTTTTCCAATGAAATTCGGAATAAAAAAATGCCTAAAATAACATGCAATCTATCTTAATCTGTCCTAAAGTGACTCATTTTTTTTGAAATTTTCATGGAAATTCGAAATCTAAATATCCTAAATAATCCACAAAGATTAAAATAATTTCTAATTTAAGCTAGGAAATATGCTACTCTAAATCCCATTTTAAGTCAAATAATTATCTTACTCTCTTGGATATATTTAGGATTCTTTAAGCATGCAAACTTTTAATTTAAATTCTAACTAACATATTTTTGGATTTTCTTTATTATTAAAAAAAAAAGAAAGCAATCAAACAAAGATAACAACCGCACTCAAACAATCCACGCAATCCGCAAGATTTTTCTTATCAAATTTGGATGAGGAAAAGAAATCAAACTAATGGTCATATCTATAGAGTTATAGATGTCGACGGAAAGGCGATTGCTCGAATTTGGAAAGCAAATAAAATCTATTATCGTATCCAAGTGAATATGGATAAGATAACGATTTGCCGTGTCGCCGCGCATCGTACCTTAGGGATAAGGTCGGATAGTCGTCCAGATACGTTACCAAATTAGGAAAGATTCCTAATTTTGGGTATTTTAGAACATTGCGGATAAAGCAAACATTATCCTAAGATATCTAGTCAATCACGCAATATTCACGGAATATTC